AAAAGTAAAAGTCAAGGCAAAGCAGCAAAAAAAATAAAACCAGCATCCGGCTGTGCTGGCGGAAAACAAAAGCTGATTTTTAATTTTTTTTTTTTTTTTTTTCATGGGGGGTTTTGTGTCCTAGCATGCCAGAAAGTTTTTTTTGGTCCAGGAAGCAAGCTGGAATTGGGTTTTCCTCCCCTCCCCGAAAAAAAAGCAGGAAAAGAAGAAAAACCACCCGCGGCAGATCTGAGGAGTCAGAGTTAAATCTGCGGCTGCTGGAGGGTGACCTGCAGGTGCCATTCCTGCCCCGACGCCCGTGAGAAATTACAGGTATTATATTGAGATGGTGCCGACAGCCACGGCAGGACCATTTGTGTCGGCTGAAGCTCTGCCTCTCGCCTTTAAAAGAGAAAAGTCAATCTCCCCGGCAAGGCAGCTCTGCAAACTGGGGACAAAGCTATTCGCCGGTTACCGCGGGCTCTGTGGCAGCAGGAGAGCTGGATTCAGCTCATTTTTCTCTGTCAAAAAGTAAGTCTCAAATAAAATAATACCGCGAATGAGACCCGTAGACTTTGAAAACTCTTTCTGCCTGATGCTGCCTCCGCTTTCCTAATGAATCTCTCCTGACGATGCTGATTCCCAGGGCTCCGAAACTGAAGCTGAGCCGGTGGGGATGGGGCTGTGCCCTCCTTTCCTCCCCATCCCTTCAACCACAGCAGTGATTTGTATCCCTACTTTTTGATTTCCCAAGATTTCCAAACCCTTCCCATGCTGCCCAGCCTCATCTGCCTCCCCAGATCGGTACAATAATAATAATAATAAAAGATTTCCTTCGGAAGGAGTGTGTGGGGAGTCTTTTAGCACAATATTTTGAACTGCTATTCCCTCTCACCTTTTTTTTTTTTTTTTTCTTTTTGTAGAGAAACGTGGAACCTGATCTCCCAAGGAAAGCACTGAAATATTTAAAGTTTGTGCAAATGAAGCCGTCTGCTGGTTAATAAATGAAATCCAGGCACTCACCTGGTAGTCCTCCTTGGCTGGGATGGGAAGGGGTTGCTGCGGTCTCACTCCGAGGAGAGAGGCATCAGGCGAGTTCCCCTGAACTTCAGCACCCTGGCTTTTCTTTTATTGTTATTAAGAGGGCTGTGATATTTTTTCTCTCTATGGAAACGCTTTTCCCCTCCCTCGTGTATATATAAAAATGAGCGATCACGGGGTTGGAGTCGTAACTCCAGACGTGGAGCCTTCATTTGGGCATGATTTCATTAAAATGAAATCAGAGGGAGCTGGCAATGTCACGGGGCTGCGGTGCCTCTCCCCATTCAGAAAGAAAAAAAAAAAAGGAGGGGGGAGTGGGTGGAAAAAAGACGTCTGAACCCAACAGCCTGGTGAGAGTCACCTGAAAATGGGGCTGTCACCAACGCCGGGACTTTGCAGGGTCACGCAGTCATGCCTCTCCCCCGCTTCTCCGGGTAGCCAGGCACTTGGTGCAAGAATATTTTAAATGCAAAGGTTTTCATGTCCCCTAAGCACGCCTGTTGGGGGTTTCAGCACTGATTAAGGGTGTTAGCCCAATTAACGTGTTTCGATTTGAAGAGTGGGGCTGGTGCACACCTTGACAGGGTTTTTGCCCTGGGCCAGTGCTCCTAAATCCCACCTGCAGCAGGGACAGGCTTGCCCCACTCACAGAGCTCTGCCCTCTGCCTGGTTTCCCATCTCTGGGAGCTTTTGTCCTCTCACGTAAGCAGGAAAACCCCTGAAAGATTGAAATTTTGCAAAAGTTCTTTCAGGATTTGGTAGCACTGTCCCAGGTGCAGAAGGGAGGTAGGGATAAAATGTATCTTGAAAAAAAAAAAACCAAACCCAAACCTCCAAGCTTCCCAAACCCACTGAGGTCCAGAAAAATTAACTCCGATTGCTCCGAGACAGCAGCCAGGAACTCACATCCCCCCCCTCCCCAATCTTAGTTCCCGGGACCACTCTGGTCCTGGTGTGGTCAGAGAGGTTTCCTGCGATGCCCACGTCACTGCTTTGCAAGCAGAAGTGCTTTGTGCTACGAAGACGATGGGGATGGAGATGTCCCTGCTGGAAACAGGCATTTCTCCACGGGATCCCGAGCTGAGGCACCCAAAGGAGTCAGGCTGCTGGTGGAGGGGCCCGTCAATGGACACCACAGATCGGTGGCTGGGCTGGGGGCTCCTGGTGGCCCCAGGACCCTGCTTGGCCTGGGCTGCTTGTCAGAGCTCCTCTGAAACCTGCCTGGAAATGCCATTGCCACCTTCCTCTAGCAAAGAGCTGGTGGGCTGCAGGTATCCCTGGGAAGGGACAAATCCTGCTAAAAGTGGGGAAAATCCTCTGAACAACCCCACAAAAGGTAACAGCAGCCAGTTGAGACCCTGGATAGGCTCTGAGTTAGGACGGGGAGATGTTCTTGCTCCCGGGCCATGCACCAGCGACGCTCACACCTGTTCCTTTGAAGAAGAGGAGCCATGACTGTGGATATTCTTAGCTGAGCATCTTTGAGCTTCTCACCCAGCCTGTGAAGTTGCTGGCCATTGCCTGCGAGGCAGTGACCGGTGATATTGAGAGCTCCCCTTTGGCTTCAGCCCTGGGTAGAGCGTTTTCAACCTTAATCACCTCCAGCTGTTGGCTGAGACACATCCGGATCGACTGCTCCAGCAATTCACTCCTCCTTCATTTTCATTTGAAGCTTTCATCTCCTGGACTGATATTTTCCTTTCCCCTTCTTCACTGAGACCTGGAGGGCGGTTTGGTTATCCAAATCTTTGGAGCCTGTTGTAGTATTTTTGGGCAAGCAAACCCGCCCGCAGACTTCAACGCAAAGAGCTGGGTGGGAAACTCCATTAGTGGGACTTCTTCCCAGCAAGAGCAATCACCGTCTAGCCTGTAGTCTTCTCTCCTCTCCTTCTGGCAAACGCTTGTGGGCTCATTTATTGCAGAGGGAAGAGCTTTCTCTAAGGGCTGCGTGGTCCCCGGAGCTGATGAAACCCTTCAGCTCCTGCTCTGCAGTGAGGAAGCAGTGATAGATGAGAGCTATTTCCAACCTGTTCCCCGCAGTGGAGGTACATTTAAAAATTATTTCCCTTTGTGCTTGTTGTGGATGCGTGAGTGCTGATACTCAGCAACCTTTGGATTCCCCCTGCTTGGTTTATGTCCTGCCTTTCCTCGACCGCCATGGATTAAGAAGGGCTTGAGCCAGCGCCATTACTCAGTAGCTTAATTAGTGTCGGTGGATCAGGGGACATCACAGGGCAAGGTCTGAAGCTTGGCAGGAGGCATCTAACCAGCTTTTTCAAATATATGCAGTTCCTTGGGTGATGCTAATCTCCACCCAGGTTTGACTACCCATGGAAGGAGTGTGATACCCACTTCACGGTGTTGTGCCTAGGGTGGACAGTGAGGGCTTTGACAGTATTTCTCTCCCATCATTGCTCCTTGGAGAGATGGGTTTTGCATCCTTTTGCTCCCTGAGGGCTGCAGATGTTGACTGTGGTCCTTGCAGGAAGCTCAGGAGACCCTTGGACCCTGTTTGGTTCAGACCACTGACAGCCCCGCATGCTTCAGAGCAGGTTAGGGACTCACCTCCCCGGATTTTGTTGGTCTGGGGGTTGAAGACGTAAATACATGTGGGATGGGAGCTCTGGGTGCTGACCTGGCCAACGGGTGCTTCGTGAAAGTGTGTGGGCACTCAGGACGTGGGTCCTTCTCTGCCTACCAGGGGGGCATGTGTCCATTCCCTGCCCTGGCATCACATCCTGTTGGGGTTGAGGAACACTTAAAAAGGGTCAGGCTCTTGAAAAGAGCTCCGGTGGCATTTTGGACTCAGTTGTCACTTGCTCGAAGGACATCAGCCAGGGAATATAAGAGCTGTGGAAAGGTTATTGCCTCTGGCATGGGGCGTGGGTCTGGCATCCCTGGCCCCAGAAGAAGGACAAAGCTGGTACCCCAGAGATCAAGGCCTGGTGCACCTGGTGCAAGGACCCGGTGTCCCTGGTCACCTCCAGGAGTTTCAGGTCTTCAGGCCAAACCTGAAGCCCTGCTATTGCCAAAATCATGGGGAATGTGTGATTCAGATACCCGGGGAAGGGAATGTAGTTTAGGGAAAGACATGATATCAAAGTAGATTATTTAAGCCGTCCTAAATCCCACTGTCTCCCAGAGGAGATGAGGTCTTTAACTTCTTCCAGTGCACCTCCAAAGTGAATTAAACCACATGAAGACTGTAGGTTGGGAAGGGATAAGGTCTATTTAGCTGCATCCTCCTTCGCAACCATCCCGTCCCTTGTGGTGGGGTGGTGGTCCCCTCTCCCTGAAGCTTTCCTGGGGTTGAGAAGAGAGTGTGTGTGCTGGGGGGAGAAGGTGTGAGCAGGCAGTTTTTATCCATTGTAGCTGCTTCAGGCTGTCCCCATGGGTTGTGCATGCTCTGAACGGTTGGAAATGGAGTGTTCAGCCCTTCAGGGCTGGTGGCTACAATAAGATGACTTGGGGATGCTGGGGAAGGGCCGACCCACGTGCCAGGAGGTCCTGTAGGACCCTGATAGGCTCTTCAGTGTCTGCAGCTACAGCTGCAGCCTTGCACAAGAGGTTGACAAGGGCGGTTACCTACCTCCACCACGGGTCTGCATTCACACACTTGGGCTTGAACCTCACCCCACTTGACTGAACGGGGTGGCAGTGGATCTCAGAGATCTCAGGGGACCAGGATACAATAACAGACTAAAGACAGGGAGGGACTTAACGCTTAACAAACTCTTCTCTGGGCAGCCAGACTCAAGACAGATCATCCCCGTGGTGGCAAAGGTAAAAGGCAAACAAAACAAGCTGAAGACACCCTACATTTGAAGGAATGGTGTATACACATGCGTCCTCCTCAAAAGTCAAATCTGCTGCCAGAATGACCCAAGTAAATGCGAGTCTTTATTTTTTTCCCCTGCAGATGACAACAACTATCTGAAAGAGAAGCTGGAGGTTCAGCAGGTCACTGCCGGAGCCAGGTGGTGAAACCCATCTCCTGAGTAGATACTAGGGTGTATTTATATGTGTTATTTAGCCATTAAATGTTTTACTGTTGGGAAGAGTTGGTGCAGGACGATGTCCTTGCAGGAGGCAAACCCGCATGCCAGACATGGAGTCTTCACGGTGATTTTATTAGGAGAAAGCAGCGCCTAAGAAAGAAAGATGAAAGAAGTCAAGCTGCCTGGTTCATCCCTATCAGTCTGCTTTAAAAGCAAACCAGACTGGTTCAGCTTTCACTGGCTACCGTGGCTTGCAGATCCCTGGTTCAGTCTTTGCTTTCACAGGAGACTGGAGAGGAGATTTTGCTGCAAAACTGAAAATGTCACAGTATGAAAATAACCCCAGCCGACCCTGGGGAAGGAGGGAGCTGTGCTACGAACAGCCTGGAGCACTCGTGGGAGCTGGATGGTGGCAGAGGGGACTCAAACTCCCAAAAGTTTTGCTGAAAATTGCCAAACTTATGAAAAATTCAGGCTTTGTCACAAGCATCCTCACACGTCTCTTTCGTGCGTCCATCTCTTCGGGAGCAGGACACCTTCCCACCTCTCGCAGCCTCTCTTGCTCTCGCCCAGCTCAATTTTCTTCTGTGAATCATTGTTTAGAGCTCAAATGTGGGCAGCTGAAGAGGATCTTATTAAAGTTTCATCACCACAACCATTCCACTACTGGGAAAAAATAAGACACAGTGACTTGTGCCTTGAAAGCAAAAAGCATGCCCCAATTACCGGCACCAAAGTTTTGTCTGGCCCAAGGAGGCAAAGCAATGCGATGTGAGGTCCAGAACTGCACAGACACGGGTGCACTGTAGGTCCACGGAGGGGCAGAAGGGAGATTTCTGGTTTGCTTTGTCCCTTCTTTAATAATCTCTAAGACTCAGTTTGCATTTTCAAGGCTGCAGAGGGAGGAGGCTCTCCCTGTGATACGAGATTGCCCGTCTCTCTGTAACCCTACAGCCAATGGCCCTTCCTCTCCCATGAGGCTGATTTTTGGTGGGTTTCTCTTCCCCATAACCCCATTTCAGGTGTGATTTTTCGCTCCTGCCAACAGCTCAGCAGCAGCAAGTCCCTGTGTGTCTCTCCAAGGTAGCCATACAGCAGGCACTGAGGGCCTGGAAACCCCTGTCACTTTTTTGCTGGGACCTCAGCAGAGGGAAGAGAAGGGCTAGGGACATGGAGCTGAATTATTGTTTTACCTTTTTTGCTCTTTTTTTTCCCCTTCTTTGGCCCCGAGTCTCTTGCTGCTGCTGCAGGGTCACAGGGGATTTACAGCCTCGGTCACATGCAAAGGCTGTAAGGAACGGTTGCCCACCCCACCCTCAGTGTTTCACGTTCTTGGCAGTTAATCAGCTCTGCTTTGAGCTTCTGGTGCAAATGTAATATCAGAAAGCCTCTCTGAGATAAAATGGGCTGGGGCTATTGTACAGATTGCTACATATGCTCCTCCAAGAATCACCTGGGCCAAACCCAAAGACCAAATTCACCCCTGACAGCCTTCAGGCATGGAATAAAACTTGGTTCTTGATGCTTTCCCTCCAAAGAAATTAAAAAAGCAATGGTGAAGAACAAATAATATTAAGTACTCCAAATTGTCTTGCCCAAGTATTTGCTTCAGTGTTTTTATCTGCTGTCTCTCTGTTGCACCTCCTACCCCTTCTCCAAAGAGGTGTTTGCACCTACCTGTACACGTGGTATGTGCCTGCTGTTACATGGGCGTCATATCTCCGGTTGGAAGGAAACATCTAAAATCCAAGAAAAAATGTAAAAGCAGCAGCAGGGTCTTGGAATCGACACATAAAATCTCTTTATACCCCACAGAGTGAAGTATAAAAAAGCTGCTTCTCCTTTTTCCTGCCTTATGAACAGGGATCGCTCCCCACTGGTGAGGCTGCAGCAGCTGGACAAGATGGCTGGGAGAGACATTGGTCAAGAAATGCGACGGTTTCTCCCCTAAGGATGGGTTATGTTGCTCCTCCAGCATTGCTTTGCCACTGGGATGATGGCCGTGGGTTGGCCCCTCGGCTCCACGATCAATGGGAAGGTGGTTTCAGGGTGGGACGCACCTGGGGGACGCAGGGCTCACCGGGGGGACTCAGGGTGCTGTGCTGAGGGATGCCCAAGGCAGGGGATGGGTGAGGAGCTGCCCAGAGGGAGCCTGGGGGATAAAATGGGATTTACTAGGGTGGTTTGGGGTGTGGACAGCCTGAGGCAGCTCCTGCAGGAGCAGAGGCTCACAGATCGGGAGAATTTCTCCTTGACTTTCTTGCCAATCCACACCGCAACGATGTCAGGGGAAAAATCCATCCTGATTTTTGCTCCTGCTTGTCCCAGCTCAGACTAGCAGAGCTGCCTTCATGACACATAAGGTTTTTCAGTTTTTTTTCAACATTTTTCCCCTCCTTCTCAAGAGCGCTGTGGCTGTTGGGTTGCAATTCCACCGTTGCAGTGGGCAGGGAATAGTGTTCTCCAGCAGCCTCCCAGCAACGCTGGCGAGAAGCTGTATATACCCCCACCGTGATGTAGTGGTTACCACTGCTCTGAAAAGCTACAGATTATCACCCAAAAGGGTACGTGCTGCGGGTGGCACGCAAGCTTCCGTCAACTCCCACAGAGCCCAAGCCAGAGGATGTGGTGGAGGCTTTTGCAAGACGGACTTGGTGGCGCTCAGGTCCAGCCCTGCATTAACTCATGGCCATTTGCCTCGACAGCATCTCCAGAGCCTCAATTACTCCTGCTCTAAAAATACTGTGTCATTAATTAACCTAGCTGAGCACAATTCAGGCTAGTGACGTGACGATGAACTTTTCTGTTCCTTTTGACTCTGGCAGGAGAGAAGACAGGGGCTGTTGTGTGATTCCCCCCCAAACAGCCTGTCTGCTCCAATCTGCTGGGCACAGCCAGAGGACGCTGGATGATGCTCAGTGCCCGGCTGTCGGTGCCGGTGGTCATTTCAGGGACAGTACTATTATCAAATTACTAAATTACGCTGGCCCAGCCTCTTCATCTCTTGTGATCCATTTTCCTTTGTAAGGGTTGCTAAGGAACTGCCTGTGGACATCAGATGCCGCAGTGAGGCAAGTTTCTCCTCTCTGCACCTCCTTGCAAGACTTTGCTGGCTGGATGCAGGAGAAACCCCTTCCTGCAAAGAGTCTGAGTGTGCTCAAGCTGTAGAGGTGCAGGTATATCCATAGATACAGATCCATGAGCTCAGCTCTGGAGCTGTCTGAGAACAGCGATGGGATCACTTGTGCTCCAAAACCGCCCTTTGCAAATTCCACAAGGATTTGTGAAGCCGTTTTTACGGGCGTTAAAGCCCCAGCTTTTCATACGCCCGGGGCTGGTTACTCATAGCGATGTTCTCTTTGCTTTCTAAGGCCTTTTGCCAACGTGTGTTCAGGAATCTTCTGGCTTCTCCCTATTTGGAGCAGTCCCAACTCCCTGCGCCTGGAAAGCAGCTGGCTCACCAGCAAATAGTTCAGCCCTAAAAGTCTCCCCCACCCTGCAATCAAATAATTTCAAGAAACTCAATTAGAGTGACATGACATTTCCAAGGAAACACCGAGGATGCATTCCGGTAATATTTTGGCCCTGTCAAAGTGGTTCAGATGGCAAATCAATAGTAAACATTTAAGGCTAGATGTATTAAAAAAAAATCAAGTTATCAATTTCCCATTATACCTAAGCTCCCAGAGCACTGATGGGAAATTCAAGCTGCATTTAATAAACCTAGAAGAGAACTGAACAGCTTGATCTTATACACTTGCCCACGATATTGGTTTTCACTTCTCAAGTCTTCCCGTTGCTTTGCAAATCGGAATTAAGTCACCTGGCTCCCCGGTGAGCTGCTGCTTTGGCCTATGCCACGAACATGGTTTACGGTGAAGGGTCTTGAGCCAAATCACCCTTCCCGAGAGACTCCTCCCATATCCTTTGCCTACACCTTGGCCATGAAACCAGGTGGCCAAATCTGTCCCCCAAACTTGGCTTTGGGATATGTGCGCTCCTCACCAAGCCTGGAGTCAAAAGCTGCCAAGAAATTCTGCACGTTGGGAGGTGAAGTCCTATTTCAAGCGATGGCACTGGTTGGGAAAGGAAAAACGAAGGTGTCCCGTTTATTTGGTGTCTGGGAATAACGGGGCAGAAAGGGAAATTCCTGATGTTCTCAGGCAGGTCTCTGGTCCCAGGTCCCCCAGGTCCATTTGCTCACCTCCTGCTGCCTCCAGACCCTCTCACTGTGCTGCTGATTCACAGCTATAAAAACAATCTTCACGCAATTACTACTGCTTATTGTCTCCTCAGGCTTGATGTCAACTCAACGTGCCTGCTAAGGGATTCACCAGCTCACAGCGATGCACTCTCCTCTTCTCTAACGCGCTGGTTGACAGCTGGAGTGGGTCAGTAAAATGCGGGGCTGGGCTCTCTGGGGGAGCAACCACAAGATGGAGGAGGCTTTGTCCTCTTGGTTTTGGTAAATAATGACCACCTTGAGTTATTAACGGCAACGGTCCTCGGGAGGGGATGCTGTTACACTCTGAATTGGAGAAAAGCTCCTGGAAGCATTTCCATTGTCCCAGTGGGAACCCAAGGTTGCAGCACACAGGGAAGGCAGAGACAGGGCTCGAGGGCAGATGCCCAAGAGATGTCCTGGGCGGGTTTGGGGAGCTGAAGAAGGCAGGGGAGGGCACTGCAATGCCAGCCCAGCTGTGGCATAGGGACAGGCCACCCGGTGACCCTGAGCCATGTGCTGGGGACCTCAGGTGATTTGCACACCGAATCCACACAAGTGGCAGGTCTGTAGGGCGGAGATATGCCCCATGCATCACCGTGTCACCAGAGATCCTTGGTAGGATGAGACGGCAATGAGTAGTCTGGCATTTTCTCTGATGGCCAACCTGAACCTTTTCTTCCTAAATCCTCCTCCTTGGGAAAAACCTCCCAACCTTGCTGGGCCAAATGCCACAGCCCCGGGGAGGGATGGCCAAATGCTGGACCCTGGTAACACACAGTCTTGGACATCGCAAGGGGAGGCAAGGACAGGGAGGCTGGTTTGTGGGGACATCCAGAACTGGATCAGAATAAGGTTGGTCCAAAGTTACTGCAGCCCCATAAATATGTAAATATATTAACCCTCTGGGTCAGGTGGAGGTGGCCACTCGAATATGACAACCCCATATTTCTGATGGAGGCCCCCGGTGTCTTCGCTGGAGGGACGCTGGCAGAGTGAGCACCACACCAGAGAGAAGGGAGATGCTAGGAGACGTTTCTTTTTTATATATAAATAAATATTATCAACGAGCTTTTTATTAATTAAATAGTGAGAACCATGACACTGTTAAAGTGTTAATTGGGCTATCGGTCATTTCTTAGCCCTGTGTTTACAGTGTGTCCCCTTTTGCATCAGGAAGGATCATTTGGGGTACAGGGGGTTGGCAAGCAGAGATTTCCCAAATCAAATCAACATGACCAAATCATTCTGGAAGTGCATCCCCAGCCCTTCACGTGGCCACATGTCTTTCCTCCCCTTTTTTAAAGCTCTGAAATGCTGTTTGCTCTGCACAGCTGTGGGAGTTCAATGACTTGTGCCCCTTGGCAAGGTCCCACCTAAGTAAGGATTTTCATACCAGGGTGGCAAATGAACTTGTGGGTTGTGCGTTTCATTAGGTCTCGGTTTTCTTGCGCACAGTGATTATTTTTGTCAGCACAATTTAGGAATGAAGGTTGTTTTTTTTTCTGATGGTTGCAAACGCTTTGCTCCCCTGGATGGTTTCAACTCTCCCGGGCTGGTGCAGGAGCTGCAGTTCAAGTCGCTCCATGTCTCCTGGACTTCTGAAGGCCAGAGGCTGCAGCACCTGCACCGCCGGGGACCCCGTGAGCTCCCCAGCCCAGCCGGGGCCCTGCGGACATTGGCATCCCGCAACCTTCCCTGCAAAGCGCACCCCAGCCCTGTGACGCCAGGGGAATGTGAAAATACGGGGTGTTTCTCAGAAAAACACCCATTTCTCAACGCTGTGTCCTCACTTGGAAACGCATAAATCTTTTGTGTGACGCTGTGCCTGCTGTTTTTGCTCAGTGAGGAACATTTTGTTTCTTTTCCAAGGGAATATTTGTCTTGCCATGATACAATACCTGAATGTTTTTTTCTTGCCGAAGTACATTTCGATACAGAACATCATTTCAAGAAGAGAGGCTGGAAATGTCAGTCTGAAAATGGCACTTGTATCATTGCCAACATTTATGAAATATATATATATATATATATATTTTTTTTTTTTTTTTAAGCTAAAAAGATTTTGGCAAAATCTCTGCTTATCCTTCCTCAGCTCCTGGGACATTGTGGGTAAGGGGAATCCTTCTTCTACCCATGATACCAGTAGCGATAAGAGAACCCTGAAACCAGGGAAATCTGAGCTCAACCTTACCAAATTGTGCAGAAAACTTAATAAACCCCCCTGATTTCTCAGCCAACTCCCCAGCAATGAATTGGAGGAGGAAAGGCATTTCCCAAATATTTGTTATCTATATGGGGCAGAAGCATGAATGTTTATACAAATCCTGGGCGTGTGTATCGGGGGATTGTTATGGTGAGAGGGATTTCAGCTCGCACCCATGGATGCTCACATTGCCAGGGCATGGCAAAGGACTGGGAGCCCAAAATGCCAGCACCAAAACGCTGGGGAGAGATCCCTGCCAAGCCAGTAGCATGGGCAGCAATGACGCGGCCAACTGACCCACACCACAGCTGAGAGGTGTCACTTTTAGACACCATGTTTCCTACCTGGTTGCAACATGACAGCAATTTTCCTCACTCGTGTGGAAGGCAGGGCCTGTTGCTTCTGCTGTTTCTTTGGCAAATATTTCAGAAGTCAGGAGAGATGTTCATGCCATCGAAGCTGCTGTGACCCTTCCCAGGAGCTGCCATGCTGTCCCATGACGTGCGCTCAGAGGAGCTGCTATCAGCTAGGACCCATCTCAGCTGGGTCCATGTGGCCACCAGCTTGTTGGCTTTCCACACCTCAGCTTGAAACACCTTGAGGACCTGGGGGTGGCATTTTGCAGAGAGAAGCCTGGCTTTGAAACCTGTTTTCTTCTCACCATAGAGGCTGGGATGGCTCCTCTTAACCTGCCCAGGGAATGGCCGAGTGAAGGAGAAGGGGGGGACTTGCTAAAGGCCACAGGGAGTTTAGGGTCACGCTGAAAGGCCATGGGGTGGGGCTCAACCTGCCCATCCAGTCTGACATGGGGAAATAGAAATTCCCACCTTTCTTTCTGCCTTTCTCAAAGGCTTACTGCTTCTGGGTGAATTACGAACTACAATTATATACAACAACATTAACACACTTTTATTTTACAAAAATAAACTCAGGGGTATGTGTCGCCTGGTTTTGCACAGTAGTCCTATGGGGTAGTCATGAGCCTCTGGATGTCTCTGCTTGCCTGAGCAATCAGATGTTTCCTTTTCCTCATACCACTTTATTTCCTGCTCATAATTACAGTTTTCCAACATTTTTTTTCAAGCATCCCTTGCCTCTTCACTTTAAATAGTTTGTCTTGCTTGGCCAGTCTCCGAGGTGTCCTGGAGACACTTCTCACAGCTTCATTTCTCTTTGATTTAAACAAGGCAACTGCAGCTGATCACCTCCCTCGGACTGGTTTTCAAAAGCAAGGAAAGAGAAAACAAAGCAGATATTGGAGATTGGATGCAGCTTGGGCTTCTTCTTGGACCTCTCATGCTCACAGAGGCTTGGGAGGTCACTGGCACCATGGGATTGTCTACGCCAGGTCATGTCACAACACATCAGACATCCATAAAGCAAATGTCCCAGTCTGGGCCAGCTCCTGGCACCATTTAGTGTCAGACAGGAGAAACAGGCACACAAGTGGACCTGGCTTGGTTTTGGATGACTCCCACTCCCCAGTGGTTGCTTCTTCCCATTAAGGGAGTGTAGACACAGTGCTGGAGGGATCTACAGCTGCTTTGTGTAGCCTACACTATCTCTTAATGCTGATGCCCTGGTGTAACGTGTTGGCTGGGAAGAAGTTCACTTATTACCTGGTGCTGCTGGGACTGGATTTAAAGCACTGTGAGTGGCTTTCCCTCATGCAGTACATTGCAAAGAAGCAGGCCACCAAGTGTGGTCGTTGACCAGGCTAAATGGGCCAGCTGGTCTACCTTGAGAGTCATGGTCGACAAACAAAGATGGGCTCCCCACGGAGCCCAAGGAGCGATGCTAATCCTTGCAGCAAGGGCCAAGAGAGAAGGGCACCCAGTTTGGGCTGGCTCAATGGGGCAGCAAATCCTGGACAGGCAATGCCTACTCCTTCTCCCAAGAGAGCACTTCAGCTCTCCAGGATGGTGCTGCCTGTCTTAAACCAGACTTTGAGCACTGAGTATCTGCACTGTCTTCTCCCTTGCAGAACAGGAAGACCGGGCTGTGCAAAATCTGTTGCATAGCAGAAAGATTCAGGTGGATGGTAACAGCCTGCACGATGGTTTTGATTTTATGCGTAACAGGTGCCTGTCTAAAACCCACCCAACAGAATACAGACCGCCAGAAAATTCTGAAATGAACCTGAAATTATAAATCTCTGCCTTTCTCTTTTTTAACATGCCTTCAAAAACAGAAAAGATGAACCTCACCGGAGTGTTTTTTAGTGTATTGTGGAGAATTAATGCATTTCTCCTGATGCCCAGAGGGGTTGTCCCCACGCAGAGGAAAGGCTGAGAGGAGTATCTTTCTAGGAAGGCTTGTTTCAGCCACAGCTTGTGCCCTGCTTGGCAGCAGTAGTGTTACTTTCAGCAGATGAGTACTTTCAGTCTCATCAGGAGCCTATTTCCCCTGCGGTGAGCTACCACATGCCTGGAGATGAGGAAAAACTACACAGATTGACACCATGACTTCAGATCTGGCAATGGGAGCCCAGCTGGTCTTCCAGGAGTGAGTTTTTCCCATTGAACCCTGGGTGAGGTATGACCCCAATGCAGGGGAGTTTGGGACTGCTCATGAACTGGTCTAGATTAGGGCAGCTCCACCAGCTTCAGGCTCTGCCTGGAGTCTTTGGTGGCTGGAGAAGCCAGAGAGATGCTTGGATGGAGCAGTTCAGGGTTCAGAGGGCCCCCAAAATCCTGCTAACCTCAGCCCTCAGAAGGAGCAAGATGACTGAACTCGAGGAGTGCAAACTATCAGGACCCAGTGCTGGTGCTCAGGTGGATCCTCCTCATCACCCACAGGTCCACCCATCTCCCATCAGTGGATGTGTCCCAAGAGAGGAGACGTCCAGGACCTCCTAGGAAGGGCTGGGGGTGACCAAAGTGAGCTGGGGGTGGGAGGGGGACGAGACCTTGCAAACCAGAGGCACTCCTCCAAGTCCTCTCTTGGTCCTGGTGGGGCACCATGAGGCAACGGAGCAGATCATGGATGGGTTTTCCTGCTTTGACCTCACTCCTGGTTGGAGGAAGCGGGGGGTCGGAGGGTTCAGGGGCTGCCTTACCTGCTGAGGTTTTGCACCGCTGCTCACATTTCCACTTGGTTTCGAAGCGGTTGCTGTTCCCTCGGCATCCCCCGAAGACAAAGGGCCGGCAGGCGTCGGCCTCTGCATGGTAATACCAGAGCAGGGCGTAGTGCCGGCAGGATCCCTCGTCCATTGGCTGCAGGCAAGGGGCTGCAGGGAAACACCCCCCCACCACCACCCCCCAAATCGTGTGTTGGACCCAGTTGGGAAAAGTCCACACTCTGCCACCCCAATTCTCCCCTGGGCAAGTGTGTGGGGCTGGTCCAGGGACTCCCACTGCCCCCCAGTCAGCACCTTACCCCAAAGCAATGGGGTTGACAGTGCAAAGGGGGCAGCAAGGACCAAGGTGGGGCATCTGGCAGTGGATTTCCAAAGTGGGATAAGCACGAGGTTCCTTGTTTCTCCGTGGCCCTGTTCACCCCTGCGGTGCCCATCGCGGTGGTCTCTGACCTTCGCAAGGGTTCTGGGGGTTGTGTGTCTTTGCAGGGGTGGTTGTATTTGGGGTGTTGCCTGAGGGCTTCTCACTGGTGGGGCTGAACCACACTGGATCAGGTGAAAACACCCTCCAGTTTATTCACCACCAGCTCAACTCCCTGGGGCAAAAGCAGCTGCTTTAAGCCAAGTCCAAAACTACTGTTTTGAGCCAACGTTTGCTGGCAAGTGTAACTCTTTCAGCACCACATCCCCTTGATCTCAATGCCAAAAAGCACTTCCCACCCAGGAAGTGACTTCCCTAAATGTCACTTAATTCAGTGCATTTCACCTGGTAATTGACTGTGGACTTCTCGGCGCTTGTGCTGAGAGGAACCCGTTATCTGCCGTGCCCGGGGAGCTGCTGGGGAACCAAATGGAAATCACATGTAACGAGGGCATGCAAGCAAATTAGCCACCATTTAAATATAGATCATCGGAGCCTTACATGGCTTTCTGCCGGCTAACAAGTTCTCTTAATAAATGTCACAGAGAGAAGAGGGAGAAACTGGCGGCAATAAAATTCTTAATGGTGTTAAACAACTCAGTTGGAAAGGTTGGGTGTTAGTCAGAGAAAAATGGAAGTATTTGTGGTTGTTTGCAGGAGATAAATGTCAGGCCGGAGTTTTGTAAATCTGTGAGCGTTGAAGAGCCAGGAGCGATTGTAATCTGGCAGTAATAACCCTCCGATTGCAGAATCCTGTTAACATTTAGAGCGCCTATCTGCACTCATCACTTAGCAGAGCGATTTATGAGCCCTCCTGCCTCAGACCTGGGCTTTAATGGGATTGTTGGCTGGAGACGGCTGCAGCTGTGATTCAATAACATGTGGTACGCCACATCGATCTGAAACCGCCCCGATCCCAAATGTTGCCTTAATATAAAGTGAGTTTAAACCCAGATGGATGATGTCTTCGACGTACAACACAGACATCAGGAGAGTGCTTGGGGGTGGGCAGAAGGAAGGCAGTGATGGTTGGGGCCTGGTGCTAGGCTTAGCTGGATTTGGGGGGATTTGTATGGTCCTTAGCAGATTACACGGGGTAAAAATGGAGATCATGGTCAATAGGGTTGACTTAAAACTCTTCCCAAAGGTCTGGGAAAGGGCTGTCATGGGTAATAAAGGTCAACACATATAAACTGTAGGTCAACAGCTTGTGTAGGCTGGTTTGGAGTGTAGAAGTACGGAACATCAAGGTGTCTTGCTCATTATGGAAGTGCAGTGTGATTATTTTTTAAAAATTATTTATAGAGTAGAAGGATTGGTTGGCCAACCCATGTGCTGGGTCAACTGGTGAGTTGACTGGTCAGCTTTTGTGCTGACTGGGTACTCAGCAGCTGCCGACAGCTTTGCCCCATACATGCTGGGGGAGCAGAGTTTGTGCAGGACTGTTTTAGGGGCATGGGATGTTGCATTTTAGATGGCTCCCTTCTGCTGAGATGCATCTGGCTCTGTGAGTCCCTTTTTCTCTGAGATGAAGAATTGATGCCGTCCCCCTGCCTGTATCAATGGCAGCTCCATCCATGCTACTCAACTCTCCTCCTCCTGGTGACAAAACGTGAGCAGCCACATCTTAATTTCTGACTTGCTGAATTGCAAGAAATGAGTCTCTGAACTCTCTCTGCTTTTGAGTCCTGCCCTGTCCTGCAGTGTGTTTGGACTTGGAGCATGAAGTGCAGAAAGCCCTCCACAAGCAAGCCCATAATCCTACGCCCCCAGCCCTTCTGCATCATGTTTTCACTTTCTGTCTCATAAATCAGGATTCAAAGCCAAGCCCGGATGAGGAGGTCAGAGGGTCCATGGGTGGCTGTGGCATGGATTTGAAGATGTGATGGAGCTGGAGGAGGGCAGCCCATATGGATCCTTCTGGGTGAAGGTCATTTTCAGGTTGCTGCCAGGAAATTCCTGAAGCTGGTCATGTCAAAGGCTGCTTGTTGCCTCCATCAGCATCTCAAAGGATGAGCAGGCCCCCAGAGCCTGGAAAAGCCACCCATGAGCCATTAGTCCAAGGGGACAGGACATCTGACTGGTAGCTCTTCTGTGCCAAGGGGACTCTATTGCTCATCAGGTCTGCATGACGCTGAGCCAAGCATTCCTCCTCACTACAGTGGTTCACGGTCAGAAGAAAGGGTAGATCATCTGAAATGCAGCTAAAACTGCCCCATCCTGTCCTCTCCCTGGGAAGATGGCCATTCTCAGCCAGGAATTAATGAATCTCCCTGTATCCATTGGGCTCATCTCCTGGATGGCTTTTCCACCAGGACACAGTGTCTCAATGCATCCCAAGGTGGTCTGGGAGCCTCCTGGGGACCCCCTCACCATTGGCTGTGCCTACAGAGTGGCCCATGAACTTCCCTCCAGCCCCTGGGAAAGCTCAGCCTTCATCCCCAAAAACGATGGTTGCACCACGGCTGCCCAGCACTGCTCAAGATCCTACTGTGAGCTTGATAACACCTAAAAGCATGGTCAGTCTTGGATCATGCTTTTGCCCTGTCCACTTGCCTGGTGTAGAGGTAGATGCAGCGCGAGGAGCTGTCAAAAACTCACTGGTGTTCATGTACAGGCAGGTTTGTATTGCGTGTGTTTACAGGGCAGGACCTCGGCCCTTCTCTCTTCCCCTCTCTCTTGGGCAACACAAAGGGACAGAAATAGAGCAGGTTTTTTTCCCATTAGCTGTAATCAGTAGTTTCGCCCATTAAAGGGTTTATGAGGCCCTGGGCAGAAATAGTCTGTAATAGCTCGAGTGTTTGGTCTCAGAGATGCAATTTCTGGCTAGTAGGAAGTTTTACTAGAAGTTTCAAAGGACATGATGGGGAAAGGGGGACAAAATTAGCCTGAAAAATGCTTCCTCCTTCTAGCCATTCAAAATGCCTCCTTTTGAAGGTGGTGATCATCACATAGGCCACAAATATTTGGCTTTTTCCTCACCCACCACCCCTTCCCAGGGGCATCAGCTCGCCTTGTCTCTGAGCCACAGGCCGGCCCTTTTCAGCACAGGGGCATCACAGCATGGGAGCCCTCTTTGGAAATCCCATCACTGCCTTATTTCTGCCCCGTCCAGGGAAGAGGATTCAGCACTGGGTTTACGGAGTGGCTGCCAAGGTTGGAAAGATGGAAAGCATGCAGCCACGCAGCTGCACTTACCTGCAATAAGTGAAAGTGTCTCCACGAAGGGTTTCACCGAAGTCACCAATGTGGTCACGCTCTGAGTTTTGTTAAGCATTTCTTCCTGGCTTTCACCATCCCTTCTGGTGTATTCCTGAGGCTGAAAATACCCTTGGAGCTGCCTGTTGATTTCAGCTGCCTCCAGACCTATGAATTAATCAGCGGGTCAGTGAGGATGAGAGCTGGTGCCACAGTTTGAAAGCCACCATGCTTCGATAAATGGTTGTAGCTCAACAAAATTCCTGCCACTGCACAACACAGCATGGGAGATAAGTCACGACACAATGTTTCAAGGGCCAAAGTGTACAGACCACTGGGGTACCTGGTCAAGGTAGGAAACCTATTTCCAAATCGCATACACTCTAGAGAAGGGTAAGCAATTAAGGAGAGATTGTCCTGTCTACTGTCTTTTCAAGGGAGGGAGCAGGGGATACGCTAAACTTATTCAGAGTAAAAGTTGTTTTTGAGGAAGTGGTTCCCGAGAAGTGTGCTGGGCTTCCTTGGGACCTCCATGACTGCACGGAAATGTTCCCAGTGTCCGTTGGGATGGAGCTGTAATCAAAACTACTCGGAAAATTAAATGCTGCTGGATCAGCATCTCCATGAGATGGGTCCCCTGAAGTGCTGAGCGCTGCCCATCTTCTCAGGTAAGGCTTGTTTACTACAAGGCTGGGAATCCACGAAAAGAGTTAACTGAGTTATGCATGGCCAGCTGTATGTCTGGATGTGTGTGAGGCTGCGGCTCCATCATCCTCCATACATTAGCAAAGCAGATATTTTAGGAATTCTGGTTTTATGGTGGATGTGCAGAGTTTGCAGGTAGAAGACAGCAGATCTAGTGGAGCCTGGCTGTGCAAAGTTAACCCAGAAACCTCTTTTGAAGCAATGTGGACCAGTAGACTGATTCCATCCCAGGTTAATGCTCTGTGGTGTGTCCACTGTAGTTTTGATCTGGTTTTGCTCTCCTTTGCTAACTTACTTTTTATCTAAATGATGCTCTGAGCGTGAGGAGTGGAGAGGACAACATGCTCCTGGGTGAAGGACTGACCAGCCAGACAAAAGGCAGGGCCCTTGGGTGACATCCGAGTCATGAAGGCAAAACACTTCAGTGAGGGTTTTCCTTTGCAGGAACACGGAGGCTGCTGTGTCCAAGAGCATTCACGGTGCAGGATTCATTTGCTCTGATTTATTTACATTACAGAAGCAGATGGAGGCTGGGACAAGGGCTGGGGCTGGGTACCAGGTATGGGACTGTGGATAGACATCAGGGAGAGATTGTCTCTACTCTGATAGATCTGCTCTCTAAACACAGAGCAGGAGGGGAAACATTGCTCAGAAAGGACTATCTCATGTCTAGTGTAATTGGGAATATCCCACACCAATAGAGTTCTCAGCTACTCCAGGCACCTAGGACAGAACTGGCTTCTTACATCCAGGGCAAGGATATTGCTTCTTGATCCAGCTCTCTATTTAGAAAGTCCTTGCTTTGTAAAATGCTCTGCTTTCGTACACTATGAAACAGGCTGTTATGAAAGCTAAAAAAAAACCCACCTCAAACCCCAAGATATAAGTTATAAAGGAGAAATTAAAGCAAATTAATTCCTGGAGAACATGAGTTCTCTGCAATTTAGAGTCAAATTGCTGCTCTGAAGTTCCTCCTTTGTCTATTCCTGTTTAAAACACTAAAACCAAGCTGTGGTGAGGGACCCATTCCAGGTCTGATGATGGCCTTGAAATGTAGTAGGAAACATTCAGCTTAGATGAGATGTCCCAGGGCAACTGAGGCAACAAAGCTGGGTTGACAGATGCAACACAGACCTACGAGACACCTGTGCACACAGAAAGGATCCAGCAGGATAAGTAATCTGACTTATATACGGGCAGCTAGATCAACATCCAGGGATGAGGATCAGATCCAGAGTTGGAAACTTTCCTCTAGGTACCTCTAGGTGAGCTGAGTGTCTTCAAAACCTACTATGGCCAGCTGAGATCCAGAACTTGGTTCAGTATCTCCTGTGGCAAAACTAGACCCTGAATCACTTGGGCACATGTAGGCAAAGACATGGAGGAACCAAATTTTCCCTGAAGCACCGAGGAAGAGGATGAGCCCTTGACTGAATGTAAGGCTCTACCTTGGGGTTGCCAGATTGGCCCTTCAGACTCTGTGGACCGTATGGATTAGATCTTCACAACAGGAGCTTAAATGATGAGTAGACATCTGCACTGCAGGCACCTCACTGGAGCTCATAATGTTGACAGTTTGGGATGGTGGAGCAACAGGATCTTTTTCGTGGGCAGGGAGGGGCGTTCCCATCGGTGCCGCTTTTAAAGCTGGGTGTCAGAAATAGCTTTGATCCTGTCTTGCAGCAGAGGGTGGAACCAGGAGACCTCTTGGTGTCCCTTGAAACTCTGTTTTCTCAAATTCCTCTCAAGAAACACCCCCTGCCAGAGCCAGGGTCTAAAAGCAGTAAGTGATCCAGGGTCATTTGCTGCACTGAATCACAGAAAAAAGCCCACTTATTCTTAAAACCTTTTCACGTGCAGGTTCAGGATGTTTTGGGGCAAGGAGAACATCCTTTACTCTACTGCACGAATTCCCATGTATTTCTATGTTGATATTAGCAGCCTTACCCCTTTCCATGAGCATCCTTCTCAACTCACCTCCACAATCTGCAAACATAAGACAGACAGGGCATAGTTTGTCTGCTAGTTCTTTTTTTTTCCCTATGTAAATAAGATTTTGCAACAAAAATAATTATTTTTACAGGCAGCACATGCTTTCATGGACTATTTTTCATCCTTTCCTCCTCCCCTCTTCAAAGCATTCAAATGCCTCCTAACATCTTTAGGCATGAGTGTGACTCCAGCTTAATGGCTGAAGCATCTTGGCAGGTGGTGGTGAACCTCAACCCTCCTTGGCCACAGGTGGACCCCAGGGAGCGGGGCAGCTCTCTGCTCTCCCCCAGGTAACTAGACAGGGCAAGGAAAGCAAGATCCCAAAAGCCTGACACCCTTGCAATGTCAGGATTCTGGGGTAAAAACATCCCCAAATGTGATAATTTTTTGTTACTGTTGTGGTGCTGGTTGGCACTTATTCACTGCCGGAGAGGAGAGGTCTGTGTGTCAAGAAGTGCCACAAAGTAGACAGGAATTAAAAGGTTGTTATGAGGCAAAATGCAGCTCCAAATTTTCCCCCATGACCCAGCACCTTTTACAAATGAGTGGGGATATAGAGATGGCCGGGGTGGTAAGCTTTGCTGACAAAACCACAGGGGAAGAAACGGGGAGAGGGTTTAAAGGGAAAAAAATTAAGAGTTTGAGTAGGAGGTCAGGACTATGGCAGAGACCTCGTGGCCCAGAAGCCCACACTCGTCTCTGAGCATGGAGAGGTGACATGTCTCCACTTGCTGCTAATATTTGATATTAGGGCTGATATTTGCTCTGCCAAGCCAGCATGTGCCGGCACTCAAATTGCTCCAATTTATCTGCTGGCAGGTGTCAGAGTGGCGGCCCCGAGCACGCCTTGCCAGCTGCCTTACCGCATCTGCCTCTCATTTCCGTCCTGACCACCTCCTTCACCTCTTCCTCCTGTGCCATGGTGGAAAACCAGAGGTTAGTCGTGCTTTTCTACCCTGCCAGCATCATCTCTCTCCACTTCGTGCCCCATCCCAACTCTTCGTGCCGCACGGAAGGTGGCCTCTGGTGAAACCACCTCAGCTTGGGTATGGCCAAGATCAGACATTTGGTATCACAGGGACCTCAGTTCAAGCTTTGTGGCTCACCAGGGAAATGATTATCTTTGCAAATTCATGGCCATCCTGTAGCCAGCTCCTCTGGCCAGGAGGAGACCAACATTAGGACCATGGCATACCTCAACCCCGGGCTGGCTTTTCACTGAGTGTCCCCACCCTTTTGTCCCTGAAGCCATAGCTTCTCGGATGTCCCTCACTTCTGACAAGCTTCACCAAACCACCTGCATCCATAAAAAGGGGCTATTGTACTGCAGGCTTGACCCATGGAAATGGGCTGTAGCACTAGGTTTAGATGAGAGATAGCTGCACCTCATTTTGTTCTTCTCCACCTCTTTACGAGGTAACGCTGTTCCCCGCAGAATGAGACATCTGCTCTCACGGATTTTGAGCCTATCCTTCACCCTTGGCCCAGCCAACTGCCACTGTTTCAGCTGAGCATCTTCCACGGGTGATGGTTGGTGTCCTACTGCATTTCATGTGGCCACCCCCTCTGATCCTTTGTAGGGATGACAAATTTTTGGGGCACTTTCTACGTAGGGAGCTGAGCTCTTCAGCTGTCCATGCATAGGGCGCCCTTGCCCATAACACCCATGTTAAAACTAATCCTGCCTGGCCTCCACGCACTGGAAAGATTCAAGTAGTGCATCATATCAGTAAAGGGGCACAAAACCACATTTGTTCGTGCAACAGGATGGTGACCCCAACGCTAGGGGACCTGCAACCACTCCTTCAGGATTTATAAACCCAGAGCAGCAGCTTTTGAAGTAGTGCCAGCTCTCTAATTGCTTTTAAAATGGGGCACATTTCTCTCTCCTGCTATTTCTTTGTATTTGATCAGCCCCGGGGCATTGGCACTGATCCTATTGGCCGCGCAGGAGTTCGAAGCACCACGGGGAGGATGGGAGAAGGGAAATGTGCCTCTGGCTCTGGGTCGTCGTTTGGGCTTGGCATCTTACAGCCCAGCACTGCTCCCACCCCAGCCTGTGCGTGTCTGACATCTCTGGGTAATGGCCAACACTCTCATTTCCCAGATATTCTCTGAATGAATTTTCTTCTCAGCATTTCCCTCCTCCCCTACACCTCTCAGGGGCAGTTTGTCCTATTTTCTCTATTCAGGCTTGTGTAATAGGAGGTGATCTTGGTCTAAAGTACTCACAGAAAGACCAGGATCTCCCTTTTCTCCTTTCTGGCCAGCTGGACCATTTTCACCCTGTTAAAAATGCTTAAGTCATTACAAAAGCTCAGTAGATTGACCATTAAATGCTCCAAGAATAATTGCACGTTAGAGAGGAAAGGATAGACTAGGAAGAGAGATGGGGAAAAAATGTTTTCCTATAAATTTTAGGGATATCTGTGAGTAGCTCACTGAGCAGAGAGGAACAGACTCATCCACATGCAAGGAAGCATGAACAGAAGTGTGTATCAGAGAGCTGGATGCAGGCTCCCATGTACTTTAGGAGCTCTGCTTTATCCAAACAAGGATGTTAACAGCTACAGTTTAAGTTGGGTTTCAATGCAATTTGTAAGGGACCTCAAAGGCTGAGATGGAGGTGCGGAGAGGATCTGGCCTCCAGAGAACCTCTGGGAACCAGACCAGGCTGAAGATTGCAACTGGGATTGCGATCCCAGTGCTGAAAGATGAAGCACAGGGAGGTGCTGCATTTTGCAAACAGGGCTTTCTGCTTCCTAGGAGAAAATACCTTGAGAAATTTTCTACTCGGAACTGGTGAAAAATGGATTTGTTGATTAAAAATATTAAAGGAAAAAGAGCACAGGAAGAATGATCTAAATTAAAGCTGCGATGGTCATTTTTCTCAATCCATGCTCACTTACAGGGGCTGGAGCATGAGGAGAAATCACATTACCCTCCACTAACACATGGAGCTAATGCAATGCCACCTCCTGATGCAAAAAAACCCGTAAGTCAGTGTTGGCAGGACCTGCAGTGTGTAGGGACTGACCCAGAACATGGGTTGGTTGCAGGTTGTGATCTTGAGATGGAGCTCTTGTTTGTATTCTCTGAAGAAGCTGAGCTTTGCCCCTCTGTACTGAGGGACTGCACCGAGTATTGTTCTACTCCGGCTCTGCCATGGCAAGTGTAGGCACTTGGGAGTAAAATGCTCTCTGTGTGCAAAACGTGGAGAGCTGAGAAATGCAACCTAGAACAGGCAAGGTTCCCCCAGCCCCAGCGCAGAGCTCTGTGCTGCTGCAGAGCGGTGAGGAACCTCACTGGGAAGTGAGACTGGCTCAGCCCCATACTGACCATTTCTCCTTTTTGCCCGTCCGCGCCTGGGGGTCCCCTGAGGCAGAGCTGAGTTCTCCCTCTTTTCCCTCGTGGACCCTAGAGAGGAGGAGGAGAGCTCAGTTAGCAGCACCTGGGCACCCTCCAGAGACATCCCACAGCACCAGGCGGGCTTTTCCCCCCAAAGCCCAAGCTGGGCTTCAGAAGGAGAAGATGCTCAGAGTCCTCTCCATCTCAGAAGCTCCCCAGACGGATCAGACGTGATGGGTCAGGGCTCTGGGCTTTGCCCCCTCTGCCCTGGGCAACCATGAAGCATTTCCTCTGGTCCCTCCCCGCAGAAAGGATGGCTGCTGCAGGAGCAGAAGGCAGTTTTCTCTCTCTGACACTGTCTGTCCCGATACTAATTTAAGAAACGGAGTCTCAGCTGGAGGAGAAGGACTTGTAGGTGGAGATAATACCCTCCCACATTAGAAATGAGGGTGGCCTCACTGCTGCTGTTCAGACCCAGGGACTTTCTCTTTTAAGACATGTAGCAGTGTGGGTGTAGAAAGTGGCATCTCACAGTCTCTCTTTAATCAGCGTCCAAACGAAAGCCATTCATCATCTCATACAGGGCTTTCTGAGCACACAGTGCTTGTAACTGCTGATATAAAAACTTCCAGCCTTTTTAAACATACATGAGGGGATCTGTACTTTTATCTCCTTCCTCCCTTCTGCGATTCTTTTGATACGTTTTCCATTGCAAGGTACACCCTGGGGAGCAAGGGAAAGAAGAATAATGTTGCTGCTATGGTCTGAAGCTGGATCTAGTCCATTTTTTACTGTTCTGGAAGGGTCTCTCTATACCTGCACCCCTTTAGGAGAAGGCTTGGGGGCAGGCCTTCCTATAATCACCCTGTCAGTGGTCTACGGGGGGGTAGCTATAGGCTGCTGAACAGTGCTGGAGGCCCAGGGCATCCTCTGTGTCCTTGTGCCACCGAGCAGATTGCTCTAGGTCAAGCCTTTATTTGACGGTGTCTTAGGACACGATACAGATGTTCAGTTTGACCATCAGTATAATGTGAACTTTGCTGCACCACCTGCCTTTTCCCTTCCTTAGTCACGTCTTCCTTAAGACTTAAAACCCAGTGTTGTTGGTTTGGAGTTTAATTTGTGGCTCCGAAGAGCAGGATATAGACTCTCCTAACATGTGATGCTCTTCTCTGTATGGGAGGGAAACCAGGTTAAGAATCAGTAAAGCCTACATAGACACCTTTGTGCCACCCAAGTCAGAAGTCCTGCAAGGGCCTCTGAGACAGGGAGACCTTTGAGACCCAGGAGAGCTGATCTAATGAGGTCCAGACTCAGACTTTCACACAAAATTGGGTCTAGATTGTTCCAACTTCTATCCTTAAAAGTCAAAGCAATTCTCACTGGTGTATCTTTTTCAGCACCGTCCCGAACTGTCAGGTGCAGCTACACATCAGGTAAATTCTCTGTGCTACTGAATGTGCTTCTCACTTGGTGAAGGAGAACCACTGGTGATTGGAGTTTGGCTTATATGGGTGAATAATTCATCAGGGCAAAACAGATTAAAGAAGAAAATCCTGCCAGTGTACCTACCTCCTTTCCTTGTTTTCAAAGCAGCAGCACAATCTAATTCTCATTTAGCAGAAAACCCAAGTATTTTACAAACCGTGTGTGTGTGTGTGTACACCCAGTCTCTACATAATACACATATGTATACAAACACAGGATTAAATCCTTACACATACAGGGATACATCACTCAAGGGTGAAACATGGCATCCCAAAGATCTGCCAGACTCCTAGGCTGGCAGGAATTAAAACGGGGCTACCCCTCAGACAACCTGTGGATAACAGTTGGTCTTTCGGGTAGTTTCCCAACTCCAGCTTTTCTTTTGTTCTCGGTTCTTTCATGTTAATTTATGTAGTCTCTTATCCAAGCCTGAAACTCAGCCAGTCCTACCAGCACAACTGAGAAGGGTATTTTCATCTCCAGCCCTCTTTCACTTGAAAAGTTCTTGTTACTTAATGGATGCTGTCTAAGGGCAGGTGATTAGCATTAATCTCTAGCATCTCCCTCCGCATTGTGTTGGCAGCAGCAAGACACTCTTCATTACCATAGAATCAGGGGGCAGCATGTTCCTGCTCATAAACAGTATTAGCATGTCTCATTTCCAAGTCTTTTTGTTACATTTCAAAAGGTGCCCAGCATGTCTTGCATGCAAAACCACTTATTAAGTATAGCCCACAAATGGGGTCCGAAAGCCACCAGCTTCTTCCGAAACCTTATCATCCTGCTCCCCAGATAATTAGCAACAGGAGGGGTGCACTTGATGCCCTGCTAACTTGAAATTATCAGCCTGCCTTCCTTCACTGAGAGGTCACTCACACCTTATGCTGCAGATAGGAAGAGACGAAAGGGGAAAAAAAGAAATAATCTCCAGTGATAAATGCACGAAGAGATGAAGTTGACCAAGATCCCACAGAAAGACAGGAGACTTTGCAGCCATCTCAACATGGGAGACCTCAGGTGCCAGCTTGTAAGAGGGGTACATGGTGGGAACACATCTGAGGTGCTGTGTCACATGAGGATGTAAGAAGCAGATCTCACCAGGGTTCAGGGCATGCTACAGGCTACTTGCTGCTCACCTGTGGCCCTGGTTCACCCTGTGGCCCTTGAGGTCCATCTGGTCCCACAGCTCCAGTCTTCCCAGGCCATCCCATTTGTCCTTTGAAGCCTCCCAAGCCAGGCACTCCCTTGGCCCCCTGAGAATCACCAACAGAGCAGTTCAAGCACAGGTGGTTTTACAGATGGGCCAGTCAAACGTTACCCAAATACTTTCATGGCATTGGCAATAAGGGGAGACCATTTACGTTCTACTTTGTCTCTAGACGCTCCTAAAAACTATGCTGAGGCACATGGGAAATAAGGAGATGACTAGTGACAGCAAACCCAGCTTCACTAAGGGCAAAGTGTGCCTGACAAATGTGGCGACCATCTACAATGGGGTTACAGAGTTGGTGGATAAGTGAAGAGCAATTGATGTCATCTACCTGGACTTGTGCAAAGTCCCACATGACATCCTTTTCTCTAAATTGGAGACACATGGATTTGATGGATGGAGCACTCGGGGGATAAGGGATTGGCTGGATGGTCACACTCCAAGAGCTGTGGTCAGTGGCTCCATGTCCAAGTGGAGAGCGGTGACAAGTGGTGTCCTCAGGGGTCGGGGTTGGGACCGGCGCTGTTGAACGTCTTTGCTGGGGACATGGACAGTGGGATCGAGGCACCCTCAGCAAGTTCCCCAATGGCACCAAGCTGTGTGCTGTGGTGACACGCTGAGGGAAGGATCCATCCAGAGGGACCTGGACAGGCTGGAGAGGGGGGACGTGCAAACCTCAGGGAGTTCAACAAGGCCAAGGGCAAGGTCCTGCCCAGGGGTCGGAGCAATCCCCAGCACAAACCCAGGCTGGGCGAGGAGGGGATGGAGAGCAGCCCCCAGGAGAAGGACTTGGGGGGGTTGGGGGGTGGAAAACTGAACATGAGCCAGCAATGTGTGCTGGCAGCCCAGAAAGGCCCCATGTGCTGGGCTGCACCCAGAGCAGGGTGGGCACAGGGCCAGGGGGGGATTCTCCCCCTCTGCTCCGCTCTGGGAGACCCCCCTGCAGGGCTGGGTCCAGCTCTGGGGCACCAACAGCAGAAGGACACGGACCTGCTTGAGCGGGGCCAGAGGAGGCCACGGAGATGCTGGGGGGGCTGGAGCCCCCCTGTGAGGACAGGCTGGGAGAGTTGGGGGGTTCAGCTGGAGGAGAGAAGGCTCCGGGGAGACCTTAGAGCGGCCCCCAGGGCTGAAAGGGGCTGCAGGAAAGGGGGGAGGGACTCGTCATCAGGGGTGTAGGGATAGGATAAGGGGGAATGGTTTTAAACTGAGAGGGTAGATTCAGATTAGATCTAAGGAAGAAGTTTTTCCCTGTGAGGGGGGTGAGGCCCTGGCACAGGTTGCCCCCAATGGGGCTTTGGGCAACCTGGGTAGTGGAAGGTGGCCCTGCCCGTGGCAGGGGGGATGGAACTGGATAATCTTTAAGGCTCCTTCCAACTCAAACCATTCTGCGGTTCTATGATTATTCTATGAAATTTCCCATTCAACTGCACTGTTGAGTTTTCTCTTGGAGCTGCTGTGAATAGAAAAGGCTCCCATCAAACACAGCAGAAGGAAAGACTTCTAGTCAGTCCAATACTCAACCTTCAGCAGTGGTTTGTAAGAGGGGAGGAGAGGAATAGTGTGGAATTTCCCCAGAAATAATCTCCCAACCTCCAACCATTCACAGCTCAGAGACTTAGTAAGTCAGAGGTGTTGCTTGTCAAGAGAACTCTTAGTGTTTGACACAGATGACCATCAAGGGATGAGGATCAGAATAGTTATTAAAAAACGCAGCAAATTCTTTAAGACCCCAAATCAGCTGGAGACCAGATGGTGGAGTTGAATGCGAGAAGGGCCTGAGGGGGTGGAAAATGCCAAAAGACTTGATGGGGGCTACTGGGATCATTGTGTGCTTTTCTTTTTTTTTCTTAAAACAATTATTGTTTTAACTGAAACCCCATTTTTTTCCCCTCCATGGAAAGGTACAAGTTTTAGACTTATTCTTTTATGGAAGAAAACGGAAAATTAGGCAATGCAGAGGAGGACTGGTGGGGAGTGATCAAGGTGAGGGACTCCTCAGGGAGCTGCGGGCAGAGCCCAGGTCAGCTTGGGGACCTTTTCCATTCCTATGTCCAACGTGCCCAGGAGGCAACAACATTACTCATTTTTCTGCCCCACAACATCCCAGGTATCCTTTACCCTGGGCATGGTGGTGTTGAATAATCCCACTTTAAGAGTTTGGATGGCTTTTCCTCACACTGAGCAGGCACCCTCCTGGGATTTTGTACATTGGTAGAGGGTGAATTTAAGGAGACCTCCCTCTCCCACCCTTTCCAACTGCAGTCCCAGTCTTAATGCGCCAGACAGCTGACATTTGCCCACTGGAAAGGGTACCTATGATGTAGAAAGTGTATAATTTTGTTAACTTGACCTGATGGATGTGGGATTTATCCTTTTATAAATGGCAGCTTGATGCCATCTGGTGAGCACTAACCTTTTCTCCTTTCTCCCCAGGAATCCCCGAGGCACCATCGTCTCCTGATTCTCCCTGTTCACCCTGGAAAGAGCCAAGATAAAATCATGGCCAATGTGGACTTGGCAAGGTTGCGATTTGCTAAATGAACCAGCTTTTCTTCAGATTATATTAGTATTTACTGAGTATGACCCAGCAGGGTCTCTCGGCCTGAGTATCTGTGGTACTCAAGGAGACTGAAAGAAATCTCATTAAAAAGCTTCATTACTTGACAGGTGCAATAGTGCCTGTGGAGCATCAGGGCTGGGGTGGATGAACCTGGCTGAGTCTCGCAGAGGTGAGTGAAGGGGTCCCAGTGTCCAAGCATCTTCACCCAGATCTATGCTGATTTATAGGAACAGAATCAGAATAACCCCATTTGTGCCCTTTGAAAGAATTAAGCACATTGCAGTGGTGGATTTTGCAGCATCTGCAAAGCTTTTTGGAAACCTCTTATTGTAGGCAAGTGCATAATTTAGACATGCACCTTTTGTCCGTTGGATCCATCCAGCCCTGGGATCCCTGCTTTTCCAGGACTGCCAATTTCTCCCTGTGGATGAAAAAGCAATGGATGGGCTGCCTGCAAGCACAAACAACCCCTAAAACATTGGGAAAACTGGCTCTGAAAAGTCAAGGTAAGTGGTACTTGAGGGGGGAATATCATGATACTCCTGGTAACAGAAAGCCTAAGTATAGGCAAAGTCTTACTTTAGACCAGTATAAATTTTAGATTCTTTTGACTCCAAGCCCACCTACATGAAAGTAGGTGGGAAATTCACTGAACACTACTTCATTTACCCAATAGACCAAGGATGATAAAGGAAAATATTAATAATGACAACAATAATAATAACATATCCCATTGGCTCAGCTATCAACAACTCCCCTACTTCCTATCAAGCTTTTCAAAACCCTTCATAAAAAGACTATTAAGGGTCATTATCCCTGTTTATAGAGAAAGGACTAATGGTGCTGACAATTAGAGCAATGTGCCCAGCAGTAACTGTGAACTGAGTCCAGGCAGTTGCTAAGCCACAGACTAGGAAGGGTTTGGGGCAGGGTCTGTTGTTTTTTTTTATCCCAGATTATCAAGAAGTTCCCTGTAAGCCTTAAAACCTTCCCATCCATTCCTCCCCGCTCTGCACAGTCATGTTTCCCCATGCTGGAGCCTGCAGCCCCACACTACAAGAGGGACATCTCCTGCCAGAGTTAGGGTGGCTTCTTCACGCACGATGCTATCCTGGGGCTGATTGGGAAACACTGCTGGAAAGGGGGCAGGATGGAAAGCTGGCCTTAGCTCACCTTGGTGCCTTTGGCTCCGGGAGCACCGGTGCGTCCTGGAAGGCCTTGTAAGCCCTGAGGGTAAAGCAGATCACAGGTAGTGATGTTAAATCAAAGTGAGGGCAGGAGGGAGGAACTCTCCATGAGAACAGGGCTAACCCCAATGCAGTGCTGCAAGCTCTTCCCTTGCTCACAGCATCTGTCCCCATCGGGCTTGCTGCAGCCTGGACCCTGAGCTCTCTTCTCTGCTTGTCCCAACCTCTATTTCACAGAATCACAGAGTGGTAGAGGTTGGAAGGGGGCTCTTGAGGGTATCTTGTCCAACTCTCCTGCTCAAGCAGGACCATCTAAACCCAGTTGACCAGGACAATGTTCAGACAGATTTGAGTATCTCTAAGGATCGAGACCTCACAGGATCTCACCCATATCCTACCTTTGTTCCTTTCTGCCCGATGTCACCCGTGGTCCCAGGATCACCTTTCCCTCCCTACATAAAGACAAACATATCATGTACAGCCTGAAAAGTAAAGAATGCAGCCCCGGTGACAGCATCACCTTGCATTTATATTGTTCTTTCATCTACCAGAGGCTCCTTGAAAATTTGCAGGTCACGGTCACCTTGTTGCTATAAATGCAGCCAGCTCTGGGGTGGGACAGGGAACGACCTTGCAGAAGATGGGTGACTGTGACAGGGCTGCTAGTGAAGTGGGACAAAATGCAGTGATGAGTTGCTACAGGGTCTGTAGCTTATGTTGGGCAAAGTTGGAAAATGACCCTTGAGGACCTGTGTGTTGGAGTGAATGTTACTGAGGTTTGGGAGTTAACGGAGTGGCAGCAACCACGAGGACCTGCACTGTGGAGATGTTAGATGGTCTCTCCCAGCTGTTTTGTTGGTCACTCCCCCTGGAAATTGAGTCTGTAATTCAAAGTCTGGATCCTTCAGGCATTACCTGAACGATCTAGAGGACATTCATTAATTTCAGTGAGGTCTTCCTTTCCTGCTCCTTCCCAAAATCTTCTAATGTTTGGGTTTTTTTATTCTTACACGGGAAAACAAAAGAGAAAAACCACCAGCAAATTTGAACTTTTTTCCAGAAAAAAGACCCAGTTAATAAATAATAATAAATAAATAATAAAGACTTAGTTCCCACCAAGCATCAGTTTGGAGATGTGTTTTCAGTAATAAGGGGCTGAAGTCCCATCATGTGCAGGAATTTATCTGGGAGCAAGGGAGGCATCCTGTTTGACAGAGAACCAGCTCATCCCAGGAAAGCGAGGCCCAGAAGGGCTGTAACAAATGATTGCTTTGTCCCTTGCTCTCTCCATCAGGCAGGTCAGCATCAAGGGTAACTGGACTTGGTATATGAAAGAACTTGAAATTTGGGCCTTGGTAAGTAACAAAGGAAAATTCATGCTGAAAAACATGTGAACACCTAGAGAAGTCTATCCCTAGAGATATGGACAGATTCTCTTCATCCAGAGAATGGCTCCTCCTAAAAACCATGCCAGGATGTCCACTAAAGACTTCTCCAGGAGGTTTAGGGAGCAATTTCGTCTCTTTTCTAGAAAAAACTCACCCTGAGCAAGACCCTGACTCTAGTAACCAGGCATGTAGGGTGTGAGAGGAGAAATGAACTTGGGATCAAGAAAGGCACAGAGCCTTTTTCTTCCTGCCAAATGAACCACGTCTTTTCCTGCTACTCACCGGCTTCCCCTTCTGCCCCTGAAGACCCCTGTCACCTTTGGCTCCCTTGTTTCCATTCTTCCCATTGAGACCTGCTGCACCCTGCCAGAAAGAGGAGAAAAATTAATTTATGTGTCAGCTCTTGCAGGGAAAGCGGCCGAGGACAGTCATCAGGATGAAAAATCAATAGTAAGAGCCTGGATTGTGTCTTCCCACAGCCAGAGGTCAGAAGTTATGCTGGTACTAGTGACCTGAGGCTGGGATTTAGCACCCATTCCTCATGGGCTTGTAAACCACTAGCAAATGTAGCCTGTGAGTTGATTTATATTTACGATTACAGCTTGGTCAATAGAGGGGCATGGCAGCTAAAGAGTAGTTCTGGGCCAAGAAAATCTAGGTGGTGATGGTTGCGGTTGAAAACAGGAGCAAGGGCATTAAGCAGGCAGCATCACCCTGCGAGTTTGGAGGGATGCACAGAGTCCTGGGCCATGGGGTCTGCAGCTTCAGACCCAGTCAGTGAAGTCAAGCAGTGCTGGGTGGTGAAATTCGGTTTGGGGAATGAACGGATCCAGTATGGGATTGCTCACAGCTGCAGTTCAGAGAAGATCTCCTATCGGGGCAGTTGAGGGCCAAAAGAGAGATCCTCACCCAGCCGAGGCTTGTGGGCAATGCAGGACAGAGGTGATCCTCCCAGAAGGCACCTTCTTGCCACACTTCGGAGGTTCTTGGCTCGTGAAGCAAATTTGCAGCTCAGCTCAGTGTGGGACACTGGAGCCACCTCCAGCATCAGGGCCTCTTCGCATGGGGGCTCCCGCTGTTTTGGTAGCAAACTAAAAGCTACTGGAAATGCCTTTTGGGTTTGGGTTGTTTTGTTTTGTTTTTTTTTCTTATTTTGCAGAGCTGCCAGAGTCTACTCATCCATTCAGACCAATTTTGATGGCAGTTTTCAGAACCTGGATGTGAGATGAAATCAGATTTATCCCCACTTGAGACACTGATTGCACAGGGCTCAGCTCACTCAGAGGAGAATGAATTCTCTGTTTAAGCAGATCAGGAGATGAACAAGTGGCATTCTCTACTTGGAATTAATTTGCAGTAGGTTGTTGAAAGGAAACACATTTATTAAAAAAAAATAAAATCAGTCGTCAGATTTGTATGTCAAGCAGACTCATCACCTCTCCAGTTACTACTCCTCTCAGTGATGAACAGACTCTTCAAACATGATCACGGTGACAAATAAACATCCCAGAATCACACAGAGACAGTGCTGCCCCTGAGGGTGGGACAGGTGGCGAGGACAGACTCACTACCTTTTTATTCCCAGGTATAAACATTCAGCTCCTCCTCTGGGGAGCATGTTGCTTCTTCAAACCCCTCCCCAAACCTTGGCACATTTTACATTTCAGAGTGAGAGGAGTGTTTGAGAGGCAACCGGGTCCTCTTCCATGGCTCTGCTGATCATGTCTGGATCAGGTAAAGTCCACATTCCTCCAGCACTGCCTACACTATCAGGCACAAACATCTCGTGCAAGCTCTTTATTTACCATTAAATAATTATTGACACAATCAATATAAAGTTCCATCTGAAGAAGTAAATGGACCATAAAACCCCCAGCTAACTAGCGTTTCTCTGTTTGCTTGCAAGGACAGATTGCTTGCTTGGAGGGTAATAAACCTGTTGGTTTGATGGTTAAATCTCACAAGCCCAGACATCAAGTGCCTGGTGAGACAGCTTTGAACTGGGTACAGATCCATCTGGCCGGGGATTTACACACCTGTATCCAAGGGGATGTGCTAAAAAGCTTATCCTTGAGCACTGCCTGATCCTGAAGGAACCCGACACTAGTTAGAGATTTCCCAATTAGCTTTAATATTTCTCTTTGTTGTCCCTAGTGTCCCCTCTGTCAAGGAGAGACCTTTCCCTGTTTTCTTGTGCTTCCCCACCGGCCCATGTCCAACTCTCATCTCTTCTGCCTGCCTTAGATCATGAGGTGCTTCTTGCCTGCTCTTGACCTGAAAGAAGCCCAAATGGCTTTAGGAAAAGTTAAGCTCATAATATGTGCTGGTAGGCTGAAAGGTAGCTGGGTCTAAGCCATGCCTACTTGGTCTAGTAAACATAAGCAGGTTTTTGACCTGGGTCTTATCTCACTGTAGGTGGACTCCTACTCATCATGAGCTGAGGAGTCTTTGTCGTATGGACTAGAAGCTTTATAATAAGGCTCGGACGTGACAGCAGGTCTGTCCCTGCTTCAGCTGGAGGGGAAGCAGGTCAAAGAGGTGATGCTTTTCAAGGCCATCTGCACCCAGGACAAGAGAAAGATGGAATAGGAGGGAAAAAAAAATAAAAAGAGGAAGATGAAAATGTTTAAGCACTAGGCAAGGGAAAGAAGATGAATGGAGATTTGTTCCCTCAGATTTACATTCATTGTTCTGCCAGGCAAATAAAGGCTGGGCAATAAAAGCTAGTAAAATGGCAGTTTAAAGGTAATTACTGGTGGAGTACTGGAAATGGCTCTTGCTATTTGGTTCTGTTATTAAAGTGTTGCACGAACAGGCTTCATTTAACTGCAAAGACATCAGGTACCACGAAGGCACAGCAACGCAGAGGCTTAGTCATAAGTCCTGAGCGCTGGCTGTGACGCAAAGACATCTTTGAGAAGCGGAGGATCTCTGCTTCCAGGCACAAATTCCCACGAAGCTTTGGGCTGGAGCCAGGGAGGAGCCTGCTTTGTCTCCAGGCTCATCATTTCCCTTCAGATAAACTAGCTGGGGAGTGAGATGGGTAACCCATGGGAAGTGTGAAACCCTCAGCAGAAACGTTGCCCCAGTGGCATGCCCCAAAAGGATCGATCTGTTTGAAGACACGTCAGAGGGCGAAGGCATTTCCAAACCATGGTGTAGGCTGCAACCTCTGCGAAAACGTCTCCCATCTCCTGGGTTTCAGTGCTCAGTATTTGGTGGGAGTTTCAACCTCACAGTTTCATGTGTGTTTTTATCCCTTCCCTGCTTCATCTTTTGTCTAGACTGTCCTGTCCACAGTTACTTGCTGCAGACCTGAGCATCCTCCCCAAAAAATCCTGTCTTGGTGTGGGAGCTGCCACTGGTCCTCACAGCCATAGTGAGCATTTGTTCTCAGACACTACATTTCAGAGATGGGTCAGCCTGATACCCTGCTGCAAAACCTCTGAGGTATCCTGGGCAGAGATCTCCACCCAAGCTCTGGCTGACTGACTTCTCTTTGACGAGCCTGAGTTCATCAGAAGTGCTCAGGAAACATCAAGACACACTTCCAGGGCAAGAACTTCTTAGGAGATGGATTTTTCCACTCCGAGTGGCCAGGGGCAGCTCTTGTCAAGCCCAAGGCAGACCCCCACACCCCACCTTTCCTATCCTCTGGCCAATTGTTCAGTGTGCAGGAGAACTGGGATGCCACATGGCTTCACCTAAATCCCCATGCAGCCAATGGAGGAAGGTAGCACTTTCTTGTTGGTACCTCTTCAGAGTTGCCTACCTGCCACTCTTATCAAGAGCTCTTATGCTCTTAGTATCTATGGTAAAGTCAAATTCCTGCTTATAACCATTCTCACACTTACCTGGGTTATAGGGCCTTGATTATCACTTGGTTTTCAGACCCTGCAGAGTGGTGGCTGGTTTTGACTGTAGCATTGTGCTGTGTAACAGTGGCAGAAGAGTGTCCTTTAGCCTTCCATCAGCCTTCCTGGACTGGCCATATTTAGCATCTGATTGTCCTAGTGTTAACCAGAACCCCCTGACATAAATTGCAACTGGGGAGGGTCAGGCTGGGCAGGAGGAGAAAATGTTTCCCAGCAAGAGTGGTGCGAGAGTGGAACAGGCTGCCCAGGGAGGGAGGAGTCCCCATCCCTGGGGGGGTTTCAGGGCCATTTGGATGAGCTGTGGGGGATGTGGGGTAGGGGAGAACTTTGTAGAGTCGGGCTGAGGGTTGGACTCGATGATCCCGAGGGGCTTTTCCAGCCTGAATGATTCTGGGATTCTGTGTTTCTGTGACTTGCTTTCACTTCTTGCTTTGACTTCAGGTATACGGCTTTGCTTTCACATCTTGCGAGCTCCACTGCTCTCAGTGATCAGCGTGGATTGAAAAATCCTGTATTTCTCCCATCCTTCCCCTCACTGACATGCTGGTGGCTCCGCTCCAACGTGGGCTTTGGAAGATGTGCTCTGGCAAGCACTGAAGAACGAAGCACATCAGAAATGGTTCTGAGAGCACAAGCAGAAGGTCCGGGGAGGTGATGCATCTCCCACCCTCCAGGTAAGTTGAAGTGGGACACCCTGGGAATAAGCACATGGTTGTGTGGTTGGTGTTACCACAGAGACCCTGGCTTCCTCGGTTATAGGGCAAGGATCCACAGGCTGCTGGATAAATCTAGAGCCCAGCTCACAAGAGGAGGTGAACATCTCTGAACTTTTCCGTACAGTGAAAAGGACTGCAAACCAGGATGGAAAGGGCCAAGGAACACTGCTAATTGTAGACCCTAGAAACCCTGAATAGAGAGTAATGGAGGGGAAGAAGGGCATTCGTAATAGAGCTTTAGGGAGAATAATGGGTTAACGGGATGTTATATTAATGCACAAAGCATGAGAAATAAAGAGGAGCTGGAAGCCTTAATACATGATCAAGATGATGACTTAATAGGCATAACACAGACTGCAATATTAATATAAAAGGGTGAAGCATGGCAGGAACTTCAGTGTAAAAGAGCACAGTGCTTTTAGAAAAGAGGAAAAAGGAGGAGAAGGTGTCTGAAATACTAAGAATGCATTCATTTGCCTTGAGGTCCAGTCAACTAGATCCATTGAAATTCTCTGGCCATTGATTACAGGGAGAAGACACAAATGCTGTCAACTTGGTTAGGAACTCCTACAGATCACCAAATCAAAGTATATGGATGAGACTTTGTACAAGCTGATTAAATTACTCAGAGTGGATTCAGCAGGACAGAAAGGGGCCAATAAAAGTTTGCAATGAGCTGGTGGCACTTTGTTGATACGAAAGATGGAATTAGAGGGAGCTGAAGGAAAATGAGAACTGCTAACCATTACCCTTAAGACTTAAGCATAGGACAGATTTGCTACAGGTAGACTGGTCCAAGTAGTGTCTATCTTCAAGGAAAGGGAAGAAGAGGACTTGGGGAATGATAAATGAGACAGCCTAGCCTGCCTTTCTGGAATAACTTGGGGAAAAAAAACAATCAAAGTATCTGGGAGCACTTAGAAGATAAAGTTGAGACCTGGGTTTGTGAAGAACAAGTCAGATCAGGATGTTGCACCCTAACACCAGTGTCTGAAATAAATGATGTGAATCATGTGCTGAGAGCACCCTAAAGATGCCAATAAACCATGTCTGAGCATGGCTCGCTCGGATGGGGAAAGTGAACGTGCAGACATCTAACCCGAGGTGAGATGAATTTCTCTAGGACGCCGTATATCAAGGCTCTTCCAACAAGGCCCCAGCTCTGATCTGACTTTTCCAATTTTACAAATTTAATGAAGGACCGAAACCAAGCTCTATTATCTCAGCCTAGCTCCAAGCACAGCACAGATAGCATTAACCTGCACCAGTAGAATCCCTAAATATTTCCAAAAGAGAGATTACTTAGCTTTCCTCCAATACTGACTGAGAAGATAACACTTTCTGGTAGTTAACCGTATTATGTGCCGACCCCCACGGGTGCTGGTAGAAAACAGCAAATCATCCAACCGTGACTGGATGGTGGCTGGCCAGGACGCTGGAGTCCAACTGCGCTTCCTTTGCCCTCAGCAGCCTCAACAAACTTACTCCTGCACTACTACTGGCTGTCACCTATGGATTCAGGTGTTCACTACAAAACAATTTCAGAAACGAACTCAGTCCAACGCCTACGTGCGGCGATGCCAGATGCTGATGTCTTACAGCACGTTACAGCCTCGTTGCTTTGGCAAAGTGCTCAGAAGGTTGTTTACAATTAGGCAGGGGTTGAAATACTTAATTGAATGAAGGCCTTTTTTCTAAGTGAGCAATTACCAGTCTGGATTATGGGCTTGTAAATAGTTACACAGCCATGATCAGTAATCAGTGGGCAGTGCTGAACGGCTGTGGAGCCTTCAGAGCAACAGATAGTTGCTGAGAATCACCCACTCATACAAAAAGAGGCATAATTGGGGAATAGGCCAAGAAAATACCGATATTGAAAAAAACCCAATTGAACAGACTCGTATTTGTAGGGCCTGAGAAAAAGTCCCAGTCATCTTTTGGTGTTCCCTCCCCTCTTATTCCTTCCTTGCCCAGGTGAAAAGAAATCAGTGGGGACTTTTTTGCTTTGGACAGCCTTGGAGACCATTTTTTCACTTGGGATTTCTTGCAGGTGAAATGGTGAAGTTCAAAAGCATGTAAACACTTTTGCAAATTGACATTGCTTTTCTTCTTCCTTTTTTTTTTTTTTTTAACTTTTCCCCAATTGCAATTTGTCAGGAAACAAGGTGAACTCAGAAATTATCCAGATCCTCCAACGTAACTGTTTCCCCTCTGGCCAGCAACATGCACCCACTGAGAGCTGAGAACAGCCACTTGTAGTCCAGTCTCTTAAGGATACATACATTTCTCATGGGATAAACAACCTGTAGTCATAATTTGAACAGAAAACATCACCCGTTCATGTCTGGCAATGCCCCTTAATACACTAAAGGCATTAAAAAGAATAAATAAATGCATATTTCACATGTTCCTTAGTGTAAAATACAACATCCTATTAAAACATACCTCTGGCTGTGGCCCCCCCCTGCCCACCACTGGTTTTCCAGCAAAGCCTCTTTGAACGTGGGCTTTGTGGGGCAGCATTGAGCCAGCATCACCTCATCTCACCCCGCAACCCACACACATGGCTGTGGGGACAGGACCAGCAGTGTGAGCCCAGCTCCGTGCCCAAAACTTGGAAAGGCAGAGAAACATGCTCCAACTCACAGCAGAGCCCGGCAAGCCTGGTTCTCCTGGGTCCCCCTGCAAGGAAAGTGGTGATGAGTTACCACAGTACAGAGCTGCATTTCCTCTGGAAATGGGGATTGCTATAGGAGATACCTACAGCTGTCAGAGAGGAGACAAGTGGACCTTTGGGAACCCCTCTGCAGCAGCAGCTGGAATGGACAGGTAGGGTACCCCAAATATCTCAGCTGGGCAACTGAATGGAGCCCTACAATTCCATTGACTGTAACTGGAGCTTAGAGAGTAGTTCACACCTCATGTCTGAATTTCACATTTCAGTGAGCCATTACTGACCATTTTAGCCCAGAAAAGATGTCAGAGGACTGCTGCTTTGCAAAATGGGAGAAATCTTTAGAACTCTCCTGGAAAAGCACAGCTACTTCTGCTCTCTGGTAGGCCCACACCCTTTCAATCAGCAATTTTGGAGAGGGAATGTAGAATTATATTCTGTGAGAAAACTCTGACAGGATTTTACACATCAGTTCTTGCAGGGAATGCCTTAACATAGGTGCTCACTGTACTCACCTTCTGCCCCACCGGTCCTCTTGTTCCAAAAAGCCCCATCGCTCCCTTGGAGCCAGCTTCACCTTTGACTCCCTAAAATTTTAAAATCCCTGTCAAATACATTTTGAGTATCTACTGCTCTTAAGTGACAACCCCCCCCCCCCAAGAGAGACCAGTAGAAAACCTCATGGAGATGGCAGAGAGGATGACAAAAAGCACTGTGTCTATAGCAGACTTCAGCTCCAGGGAGCCCAAAGGTCTGTATGGCAGCCAGGGAATGAAAGCCACCAGCTGCAGAACGGCTTAGCAGAAACCTCAGTGAACTGTCCCGTAAAAAAGTTGGTATTCAGCTAGAGGGACTGAAGAAAAACAAACAGAAAAGGGTCTCAAAGGCTCTGGATGAGCTGCCTCCTTGCCAACACTCAAGTACAAGACCCTGCTGGACTTACTGGTGGTGGAGATGCTACTCTGGGGCTCCATCCAAAGTCATTCAGATATTCAGCCAAGAAGTGTTCTTGCTTTAGGACTTGCTTACATATTTTTTTTTTAATTATAAAGCAATCTGACATATATCATGTATGGGCTTTCATCTGACTTAAAAAACGCCCAGGTATGACGCATGGGAGCATCTCATGGGTTTCCTCTACGGTAGCTGGGGACCTAAGGAAGTGCAATCAGTTGCGGTAAGGACACAATTTGCCTCTTCAGGAGGGACTTGCCCACACTGGGTCAGGCAGTTCCCACCCCAGACTACACGGATTATATAGGTGCCCATGGGAAATCACAGGACGTCTAGCTCAGGCAGCGACGCTGCTGTTGTAGTTATATTTGTTCAGCAGAGTCCCTGTCCTGGGTCAGACTTCTGGAGCAAAAAGCATTAACATAATATGAAAATAGGTATGATTAGCACATGGAGATTTAATCTGTGACTCAGTCTGAGAGTGGGAGAGTTACGCAATTCCTCCCAGCGGAGTGGTGATGGATTGAGACCTGAGACCTCCACAGGGTGCTCTCAAAGAGCAAAGGCAGATGGAGGAGCAGGTGACTCGCTCTGCCACCACCCAGGGGAGAGCCCCGTGTGAAGAACAGGGACAGAGTAGCCAACCAAGCCCTAACAAGAATGCCACAAGAGCTGCAGGGTTTGAAGAAGCACAGCCAGCTCTTGGAGGGAGAGGGAGATGCAGGACTCTTACAGTCCTGCAGTAATTGGATAGTCACTGTTCCCAGAGTGATCCTGTACCACAGGCGTGGTCCCAAAACTAGACTTGACACTTGGTTATCTTGTTCCCAAGCCCCAGTCCAGCATCCTCCTCTCTCTTTCTGTGGTAAATGCTGGGTGAGTGTAGTAAGCACACTGGAAGGAAGGATGCATGTGGCATATTGAAAAGCTTCTTTCCCATAGATGCAGAGATATCGGTCCCTTCCTCACACACTCAGTGACCTTTTGTTGTCTCTCTCAGTCACTTCGGAAGGTTCATACCTTTTCTCCTACAGGCCCATCCTCTCCCTTTTCGCCTTTGTCTCCATCAAAACCTGGCAGACCCTGTTCACCCTGAAAGGTAAAACAGAAATTAGTGGTTTGTGCCTCTCTCCTGGAAGCACCCAGCTCTCAGCCACTGGCTCTGGACCAAAGTTCTGGTTCTCAGTGCTTATCCCAAGCTGTGCTTGGTGCTGATGCCACCAACAGTGGGAAAGGAACAGATTAAAAAGTCAGTAAGAGTCAAACTTACAGGATCTCCTTTACTGCCTTTATAGCCCTGGGGTCCAAAAATAGTCATGGGCTCCCCCTAGAGAAAGGAGACACAGATGTCAGCACACAGTGATCCATGAAATCGTGGGTCCCACTGGATGGAACCACACTTGCTATGATGGACAAAATGGTAATTCACGCATCTGCAATGAAAGTAAAGCATTTCCCAAACTGTGGTCCATATGCTGGGGAAGGAATGTCTGCTCCACAGCACAACATTAATTGTTAAGGTTAGTTACCTTTACTAAATCTATATGATGAACATGAAACAGAAAACTACAAGAAGTCCCAAGGTTGGAGAGTGACTTCGTGCTCCAAAAAATGTTGGGGCCCACTGGCATTACCACAGTCTAAATGTCATAGCTGGAAATGGAGCTATGCATGGCATGAGCCCGAGGTTCAGTTCCTGCTCCAAGGCTGTCAGTGGTGGCATGGGTTCATCTCTGACATGGTGCCTTGGGTCCTTTGCCACTCTGTGTCACTCAGGATGTCAAGGTTTGCATCTCGGGTGTGGGAGCTGACCACAGGCAGGATGATGAACGGGTCTACTCGTGGTGTCCTGATTTATGAACCAGAGTTGGAGTTAAGCAAGGGGACTTAGGGCACCCCTCAGAGGTAGTTTTTGGAGGATCAGATCCCCAAACTGTCATCCTGAGAGAGCCAGTAGCTACAGGCATGCAGTAACCCCATGGACATACCCACAGCAAGACTATTTATCAGTTCAGCAGCTGAGGAGGAACATTGTGCTCCTCAGAGAGTGAAGAAACTGCAACAAGGCTATTCCCATACAAGAAATGGCTCTGCTCTGGCAAAGCGATGGCTGTGTCTCCAAAGTGGTGATGCTGCCCACAGTTTGGAGTGAAGAGGGGTGAAGCCAGTTTCTAAATGGGCAACTGTAGCCCATTTGAAAAGGACTCCCTTTGCACCAGCTCTCTTCAGTGTGGCAAACATCCCTGTTTAGGGTGACAGTGCCTTGCTGCTGGAGTCTTAACAACCACATGTCAATCAATATTCCCCAAACTTTGAAAATATTTTGCAGTTTATCCAACCATCACCATCGTCATAAGACCCTGATCCAATTCTCTATACCCTTCTGCTTCCCTGCTCTGGAGGATCTCTAATGGAGACAGGATGGGGCTCAAACAATTTTGGGAACAAAAAAGGAGAATAAAGATCCCGTGGCTTAATCCAATACATAGCACAGGCTCTGGGATTCAGGCAGTTACTCCTGTATTGATCACGGGAGAATTGGAAAGAAAGTTAAGTTGCAGTCATGTGGGACAAACCCAAGACAATTAGCCCCCGCTCTCCTGTTTAATCTCGCACTCCACCTTATATTTTATTAAGGTATTCTTTGGAAAATGCATTACAATTCCTTCAGCTTGGAAAGTGTTCTGGGGCCTCTTCATGAAGCAGATTAAGAATTCATTTGTCTCTGGAGCGAGTCCCCTTTGAAAGTAGCTTCCTCAGAGACAAATCAGCCTTAATCATTTAATACTGCATGACTCAAAGGCAGGATCGTCATGTAGGTTTTCTAAAACTCATTTTCTAACAAGCCATTTCAGCCAGGAAGGAAGTTAACAAAGCACTGGGCAGAAGTTCAGCATTTTCTGTGCATTTTCCAGAAGCGCTTGGGGAGTTATTTTCGCATTAACTTCTATGAGCCAGCTCAGGCTTTTTAAGATTGCAGTATGCTTTGGGGTGAGCTGGTGATACCAAAATCAGTGGAAATTTTCTTCCTCCCTTAATTCACAGGTGGCATTTTGTGCCCCACCAAATTGGGGGGGGGAAAAAAATGAACATTTTTTTTGTTGTTTTGTAGGATCCTATCAAAACTATCACACAAGCTCAGCTTGGAGCCGTGTGTCCAGTGCAAGGATGGCATCAACAAAGTGGATTGAAACTGGCTGGAGACCCCCGAGGGGGACATCTACGTGTTGTCTTCCACTACCTACGTAGGTGTACAACATAGAGAGGATGGATTCAGGCTCTCCTTGGAGGCACACAGTGAAGGGACAAGTTGCAACAAAGGGAAACTCCTGTTAGACAGAAGGAAAAACATCTTCACCCTCAGGGTGGCCAGATGCCTGAGCAAGGACACAGACACGCACACACAAGGCCCTGAGCTTCAAATCCCGAAGATTTCATTGGCACATGGATGGCACTGGACACACCACCACGGATCGAAGCAGGATTGAAAGTCCTCTTCAGTGAAAGGCATTTGTACCCATCACCTGGGAACCTTGCCCAGCACTCCACGCTGGGTGGGCCACACTCACCCACATGTAACGATGTGAATCCTGTAGGATCATTAAGGCCCCAGATATTTGAAAACACATATAAATATATTTTTTTATCATTTATGCCTCTATCTTGTAAGATCACTGACTCATTTAAATAACTGACCATCTGGTAACTATAAAATCCTGAAAACCTTTTACCCCATCTGCCCCAGAAAAATCACAATCTGCAATGTCCTTACTCTTTCTCCCTTGGGTCCCAGAAGTCCCCGATCACCCTGAACACAGGAAAGAAAAAAGACAGTGAGTGATTTCCTTTTTTACTCACACTTCTTGTGTTGCTCAGTCCACCGATTCACACTCCAAGCCACTAAGATCTATCACAGTTGGAAGTCAGTTCCTCTGGGCACTCTCCAAAATGATTTGCTTACCACAAGAAACTGTGTACAACTAGAATTTATAGCGTTGACAAAAAATAAAGACCCAGAGGACTGAAGCGCTTTGCCTGACTCCATGCTCAGCGCATCCATTGATGTGGAGCTACTGCTGGATTTTGACCTCCCAATGGGATGCAGCATCTCTGTGCTGCAGGGACGTGCCTACACTACATCTAGGGTGGGATGGCATCCTATATAATACAGGATTTCCCAAATTTCAACCTCCAATTGGCATGTTTTACTGAGAGCGTATGAAATAGTAGCTGTTCCTGGAAGATTTTTATAATGGGCATGGTAACATGAGACTGAAGGACTCATTCCCGATGGCATCTTGTAACCTTCTCCAGTGCTCAAGACTGCTGTGGTGACAGCAGGAGAAGGGGGAGGCTGCAAGGATGAGGTGGGGAGAGGCTTTAAAACTGCACTTGAACTTCTGAGTGGCAGAGCTGTATGTGGATCTCTCCCCCGGTGTCCCATGGCACATCCCTTATATTTGGGGTGCAGTTCTCAGCACTGCACTTCCCAAGGGTGGCAAGGGGGATGTAGCAGGAGACCGAGGGGACTCCTGCTCACCGATGCAAATGAAGGGGTATGTGTTGCCTGGTGGGCAGTCATCATCCTGCTGATGCTGTAGGACATCTGCTCCCTAGCCCTCTTCCCCCAAGCCGGCACATTTGAGGATCAACCAGAGCATACCAGGGGTCCTTCTCTGTCCAACCTCCCAAATTTCCTTCCAAAGATGTCCTGGGCATGCACCTTCATCTCAGCCCAGCCATTACAGAGGGCTGCTAATGCCACTTTATGCTTCCACACGCTGATCGAGGTCCTCTCCCAGTCCACCCCCAGAAGATGCTGGGATTATCCCTGCTGTTTTAACAGGGGCATGAGTAGTGTGGGCTGCTGCAGAGAAAGGCTCCCCAAAATGGTGCCTACTTCAGGGCACTGCGTAGATAAAATAACTGTTGCTTACTCTTTCTCCTTTCACACCTGGCAAGCCTTTTAGACCCTGTAAGAACATAAAACAGCATGTGAAGATAAATACTAGAAGGGGCAAGGTGTTAGGAAAGAGCAGCCTCCACTCAAAGGCAGAGCTGCCTCCAAGGATGGTCTTCACCATGGAGAAGGTGCTGACAGGACTGGCACAGGAGCCTCTACTGTTCTTTCCTTCCCCCAAGAACAATTTGAGGAGGAGTGAATCACACTGGTGCAAAGAGAAAATTTAGCCTTAAGTTTCTGCCCTGCCCACCATTGAGTCTGGGGCAAAACTCAGGATCTTTTGGCAGATGTATAAATTTAACCAACCTTCCCCATTTTGAAAGCTGTGTACTGTGATTTCATTACCCTTAACATTAACAAGAGGCAGCTCCCACCTCTCACAGACCATAGGGGAAGGGTTGATCCCAGAGGACTCCTCCTAGGTGAAGGTGATGGGGATCCCCAGATGCCCCCAGGGCAGGACTGAGACCCTGGGGACAGAGCCAGGATGGGAACCACACGTGGAGAGCTGAAAAGCCATGGTGGTTACCCCAGGTGTAACCCATTTGCAAAATTGGGGGCTGGTGACCTCCTATGAAAATGTAGAGAGGTGGCACCTTCCACCTGCAGAACTGGCAGCTCATCACGGGGGTAGGCATGGACAGGATGGATGAGGAGGAGACAGCGCAGACATTTCTCAAAGGGCACAAAACCTGGGCTTTGCCACCCTCCTGTGCCCTGCACTGCTGCTCTGACTACCGGGACACATCGGGCTCTCGTGGTGTAAGGGCTCGTTTTGCTGAGAATCAACCTTTCAGGGGTGAGACCTCAGGGTGAAACCTGGTACTGCGACCACTCTGGGCCTTCTGAGGAACTTCCTGCTCATAGTAACAGATCCATTCCATTAGAGATAATAATAGCCTAATAAATAGTCTAATAAATAAAAGGGTGTTTGTCAGAATACTGGTTGTGATCTGCGTCTCCCCTGACTCAGTCTCTGATCAGTGAAAAGGGAATTTACAACAGACCAAGACCCTGAAATTCACGCAGGCAAGCAGACCTGACAGAGAACAGAGACAGTGATATTTCGGGCGGATTTCAAAAGCAGCCTGTAGATGAGTCAGCCAAATGGACAAGAGCATAAAGCAATTGTGCTCTGCATGACACCTCATGTCTCACAGCTGCCTACAGGACTTACACTCATTCATCCCAACACGAGATCAGAATTCAGGTTCCCAAAGTCTCTACTTTTCACTGAAAGCATCAACCCGTTTATTCTTTTTTTTTTTTTTCATTGCTCATGGGGATTTCGCCAGCCCTGGGTCCACTGTTGTGCATGCTGTAAAATCAACCCTCTGTGCTATTTTAACACTCACCATCATGCCAGTGGGGCCCCGGACTCCCACGATGCCCTCATCACCCTGTTAAGATGGAAAGGGAGAGTGATGACCATCAGCAAAGAGAAATGCAACATGCCAGTCCCAACTCTTCAAACCATCCCACTGGGGACAACAGGAATTAAACAGGCAGAAGCCAAGATCCTCGAAGGAATTTTCCAACCTCTTCACTTAATACCTCCAGAAGGTGCCTTAATGCTCCGATAGACCTGGATCAAAGAGCCTTAAGGGTTTGAGATCATCCACACGTCGCTGCAGGTAGACAATGCAGCGCTTAGAGAATGATGCTTTGGTCAGACTGAAGCTTCAAGCTTCAGCTTCTCCTCAGTCCCTGAGAGAAACAGGTATTTGTGAGATGATCTGCACATGATTTAGCATGATATAAATCACTCCAGAAAGGCATCTCTTCCTCTCTGTTGGTATAGAGAGGCCCTGGAAGGACTAGCTCAGAAGAAGCCATCTGAGGCTGGATGACCTGGTGTGTCCCTCTCCAGGATGTACTCACAAAGGCATGTCCAACAAGGGACAGAGGTCTGAGACGTTCCTGGGACAGAAAGATTTCTCCCCCCAGCTTAGAGGGCCCAGTAGTTTTAGGCTCAACTCATAACTCATTGCTGAACATGATTTCAGCAGGACTCAATAGACAAGGCAGTCAGGAATTCACCTGGAACTCATACTATTGACTTTCAGAAGGAAGAGGCCACCAGTCAATGGCTCAACAGTGAACTGTGACTTTAGAGACCAATGTGAGGCTTATCTTCAAGCCCAGCTGTGGTTTCCAGATGCTGCAGATCTTGTTCTGAGCCTCCCTTTAAGTGTGCTATTGGCTTCTTACAAACCTCACTACGAGGGGTAGCTGTGCTGGTGGGTACGTGAAGTCCTTTTATGACCTCCCTAGGTAGATCCTACAAGACTTACCTGTCTTTAAGATGCCTAGATGTAGGCACCATCCTGTGAAGCCAAATTTAGATCTCTCACCAGTATAATCCGAAATTCTGTGATTCACTTTAGATTTATGCTGGAGTCAGAAGAGCAGAAACATTATTTCATCATTTCCTTCAGATAATGAAGCTTGAGTGAGGTTTACCCCAGACCTTTCACAGCTGTTGACATTCTCATTAAGTGTTTTGTCTCAGGGGCCTCACTGAACAGTTCTGCTGGCAGATGGGGAGTTTGTCTAAATGGATTGCAGCATAAAATCAGTTTATTCGTGGAACAGCCACAGAAGCAGCAAATTGAAACATGGCTTCTGATTACAACTCAGGACGGTCCCCCTGGGGTCTTTGTCAGGAGACCAAGACTTCTCAGCAGCATGAGCAAAAGTGAACATTATTGCTCCAAGGATGATGGGAGCTGGTTTCCCTCTACCAGGACAATAAGGAGGGAAGAGGGGAGTGAGGATAAAAAAGTTGGAAACTGATTTCTGAACGAGTTTGTAGGTAGCATGCCCAAAACATACAAAACAGAGGTGGTTCCTCAGCAAGCTGCTAGGATGAAAACACACAGAAGTAGAGGTGTAGATATTGCCTCGATGCTCCCAACTATCCAGTGAGAGCACAGCCAACACAGCTGGTGGGGCAGGATTCACTTGGCCATGCAGTTAGCCAATGTGACCTGCGATGCTAGAGGGTGTCTAATTATGGAGAAGATGTTAATTGCAACCTGTGGACAGATTCTGGTCAGTGCCAGCTCCAGCTGGGCATAACAGTGTCCATCATCTCCTAATCTGGCTGATAAAAAATGAAGGAGGGCTCTGAAGTCAGCCCTTTGGACATCTTCTAAGATGGGTGAGTGAGAAGTGATGGTGTAAAGCTGCCTCCAAATGAGAGTGGGCTGCAAAAAGCCAAGCCAGGAACATTTATGGAGGGACCTACCCGAGGGCCAGGCAGTCCACGAGGACCTCTTGGGCCAGCTGCTCCAATGCCAATTTCTCCCTGCAGAACAGAGAACCCCAGAGATCTCATTCAGAGCAAGAACCCCACATCCATGATTGCTGATTAGTTTGGCCATGATTTAAAAGTTAGAAAGAGTCAGGAGACTCGCTGCCATTGACTTTCTGCTGCTCTCTCTGGAGGAAGCACCAGCCACCAAGAAGGGCATAAGGGTGAAAGAGGGATGAAGGGCTTGGATGGGGCCAGGGATAAGGAGCCAGGGGAGGGCAGTGTACTGTCCCATTGCCACCCCAGGAGCTCAACTGCTTGTGACCTGCCTGGTAAGTTGGCACTGACCTTGTTGCCTTTGGGTCCAGGTATCCCGGGAATCCCCTGTAGGACAAAACAGAAGGGAAGACTTTGCTTTGCAAGTCCTCAATGCTTTCCTGTCCCAGTGCTCTAAGAGGGTGAAAGCACACCCAGCCCAGGTACCAGAGCCTCAATTTCCCCCCCAGCCATCCCTCTGATGCTCAAAAGGCACAGGGACAGTGTACAAGTCACCTCTTTTCCTGGGGATCCTGATGGTCCTGTGGGCCCAGCAAATCCATTCCGGCCTCTCTTCCCACGCTCCCCCTTGGAAACAAAATCCTTTAAGAAGGAGAACACCCTGATGGGAAAAATCCTGCTTTCACCCATCCAGACAGAAAGCAGGAGCTGGTGCCCCCAGGGGTTCCCTGCAGTGGCAGCAAGCAGGAGGAACAGACTCCTTGTGTGTGACTCTTGTTGTTGAGGAGACCTTGAGTTTAGTTTCATCGCTGTCCCCCACTCCCCCTCCAGCTAAGCCTCCATGTCCCTGCAATAAGACTTACCCAACCCACTGGTCCCTCTGTTCCCACGGGCTAACGACCACAAACCCTTTTCTGTCCTCTCCTGTGCTATCACCACCCCTTTTCTTCCCAGTTGTCTCATCAAGCCACATCACTAAATTTAAAAGATCAGGTCTCTCAGCCTGCTTGAAGCTCCACTGTTCCGTGTTGTTGGTTTTTTGTTTTTTTTTTTAACTTGAAGGACATCCACCTGCACCAAATCTTCTGGATACTTTTTTCCCTAACAACACCAGTTGGCCTAATAAATGCTGTTACTTCTCCATTTGCAACCAGGCTTTGCTCCTGTTTTTCTTCACTGACTACGTATAGGCTCAGGGTCTGGAAACCTGGATGGGTGGGAATGTGACCCACGGTGGGCATCCGACATAGACAGTCTCAGCAGGGCCATCGTTGTTCTCACCTCGAGGTGGCTAACACAACACATGCTGTCCCCTCACTGCACACCACCTACCTTCTGTCCTGGCATCCCGGGCAGACCTGGAGCCCCTCTGTCCCCCTGTGACCCGGGGGTGCCAGCATTGCCACGAATGCCCTGGATGCCCTGAGCTCCTGGAGGTCCTGGGGACCCTGGCTCACCCTGTTGAGCGAATAACAAGGAATTTGGATTTACTGACCCCTTAAAGGTCCTGGAAAAAGCCTGAGGTGTATCCTTGAATTCACACAACCAGTTCACAGAACTGGGGATGACTCCACCAGCTCTGGTCCATAAGAGAGGTCCTAGGGCTGGAGAAGGGCTGTACCATGGCTTGCTAAGCAGGGAGCCCTTACCTGCAGACCTTCAGAGCTCTCCAGTGAATTCAAACCCTGGAGACCTGCAACATCCCAAGGGATCACAGAAACACATCTGTGCTGAGAGCACAATTCCCTGGATTTTTTTTAGTCATATTTCACAGCCTGATCTAGCTGAAGGTGTCCCTGCTCACTGCAAGGGGATTGGACTAGATGACCTTTAAAAGTCCTTTCCAACCCAAACCATTCTATGGTCTATTCTATTTATGCTCTGGGCTTCATCTGCTTTGAAATGGCCCTTTGGAGGACACAGAGCACTCCGTCTGTCCCAGACCCACGTCACAGTGTTCCTGCCTTCCCCGGCTGGGACTGGTTTTGGTGCTTTATCTTTGTAGCCACAGTCAGTGCTCAATACCCAGTGGTGGAAAGCAACGACTACAAAGAGAAAGATCCAAAAAAACCCAAGTGAGATCCTATCTAGAAGAGAAGAAAGGCTTACCTTAAATCCAGGTGTCCCAGCCTGACCAACGGGACCTCTAAACCCAATTCCTGGTTCTCCCTGTGAAGAGAAGAAGATCAGGACAAATCAAGATCACTCCTTCCATTATGGGCCCTTCGAAATGAGGACTTGCTTCATGCTGCTCCCTGGACACCCAGCTGAAGTCCCTCAGAGCTGATCCTACACTGAGGGTTTCTACAGAGCCCTCACTGACCATCACATCTCCTCTAGATGATGTGAAGTCTTATCTGACCTGGAGAGACAAAGCTGCTGAGAGCAACGAAACAGCTTTAGAAAAGAGGGAACTCAGTTGCAGGAATGTTACAGGAGGTGGTATCAGAGGACTGTGGGTGAGAGTCTCACCTTTTGACATTACTTCTTTATAAGGTGAGTGTCCTGTCTATGTGAGCCATCTGAAGTCCTCTAGTCAACAGAGAGACGCCGAGTCCCCAGTGAGGAACTGGCCACAGAGCCCACATCTCGAGATGGGACACCTGGACACCTCCCCCTGAGATTTAGGAGGTTAGGTGTAGCAAAAGGAGGAGGGAGAGCAGGAGGCAAGGTCTCAGAGTGCAAGAAGAGACGCCCCTGATGGCAGTACCAATGTTGTTCTTTACCTTTTGACCATTTTCACCCCTGTCTCCTTTGGTGCCCTGTGAAATAAAGACACAGTTACCAAGCTTGTGCAAGAGGTCTTGTGAAGTACCACCTCAGTGCAACCCTGAACAAGAGCAAAGGTTTCCAGTTGTGCTCTGGAGCAACTGGCCCCTTTGACCTCCACCTCTTTTCCCCAGAGGAGGTGGGCAGTGGCTGTGTGACCAAGGAAGAGCCAAATGCCCTAACACAGAGCCACGCTGCTCCCAGGAAGGGGATGGAGTACTGGGCTGACCCAGCAGATTTTGACTTTCCTATGGCAATCTCCAGTTCTGGATTTGGGTCACTTAGCTGGTAAACTGTCTTGCTCCAACTGCTGATACTGACTTCACAGCTCACCTTTTCTCCAGGTTCCCCCTTCTCCCCAGGCTGCCCCTGCAAGACAAAAACCATCCATCTTCCAGCCACCTCCTCTCCATCCCTCCCTTCTCATGCCCGTGTCCCCAGGATGCTGCACCACACAGGTGTTTAAATGGTAGCCCATGCGAATCACCCCTTCCCCATCTGGCTGTGCCTTTTAATAACAACCCTGCCTTGTCTGCCTGAATATCTGGGTCCCATCACCCTCGATCTGCCATTTGATCCCTACAAGCCTTTGCTGCCAAAAGTGTTCATGAAAATTTTGGTTTGTATGGTCCTTCTTTGATCCCTATCCTTATCCTAGGGCTAGATTTTGTTTGTCTGTCACCTGGTTTAGCTCAACGATCCAGCAGAAAATGAACATCAGAAAAACACCCTGAATTTTGGCATTTACCCCTGAGCTCGTGGCAGATGATGCGTGTTAGCATTGCTGGAAGGGAGGGAACAGAAACACCCAGCCAGGTTCAGAGATAAAGGGGGGACTGTGGCAATCCCAATTTACATCGGCACAGTCGCCCACAGGCCCTGAATGTCCTCCCCATCAGCATGTCCCCAGCTGCCTCTCCTTTTCCAGACCCTCTCAGCACAGAGAGCCTTCTCCTGGTCTCAGAGGCTCAGGCCAGGAAAGTGCTATTGCTACCTTTTCTCCTTTGTCTCCATGGACTCCTGGAGCTCCCATTTCTCCCTGGAAAACAACAGGCAAGCCCTTCAATTGCAAACATGCGCTGCTACAAGGAATTTTTCCTTCCCTCTATGGACCAGGTGGGTGCTGCCCACATTCCTGCATCAGATTTTGGCAAACTTTGTGGAGGAGCCCCTCATTTCCACCACTTGCATCCCCAGACCAGATTGGGGATGTCCCTGAGCCCATTCCTTCTATCCTGTGCAGTGAAAATGCAGAGAGAGAAAACATAAATTGCAGAGAAAGGGTCAGATATGAGTGGTAAGCTGAGGGTATCCCTGCCCCTGGATGCTGTAGATGTTAAAGGATGAATTTGAGGGAGACAGGAGAGGTCCACAGAAGACAAAAGTATTGAGGATCCCCAAAACACAAAACCAGCTGCAAAACCTTCAAGCCTGGAATCTCTGCTCATTACCAATGGCCAAAACTGTTGATTACTACCTCTTGAACCTACTGGCCTGGCCAATTTTCACCCGTGATTTCTCAGCCTCCATATGAGACTGCTCTGGGAGATGGATCACTATCCTGACTCCCTGAAGGTGCCACTGGGTATCTGCATTAAAAGGTGAACCAAAATCACTGACCTTTTGGCCATGGGAGGGTGGATCTTCTGAGCCAGTTTCTTCTTTCTGTAAGAAAAAAAAAAAGCACATACAGAACCGGGCTGTGGTGTGATGGGAGAAAGGATCAGCTGCATCCTCACCACACGCAGCTGCGATAAGAGGAGTACAACATGAATGCTGTACCTTAATTCTCCTCGGGTGGTCAGGGTCTGGGTACGCCTTGAATTGAAAAAGAAAAAGTGTGAGAGCATTTGAAAAAAGTTTCCACCCTTGTTAGGCAGCAAGTGAGGAGGCTGGAGGCATCTCACAGGGAAGCTGTGTGTTACCGATGAACATGAGAACCCCACTGAATGGCTGTTGGTTGGGTACAGGGTGGCCTCCAGGCTCCTTCTGACCTGCTCCAGCCCAGACGGGACATCTGAGAGCTGGTGTTGCCTGTTGCGTATGGGCTGCCAGGGTCCGTGAACCAAGAGAAGCCTCAATACCAGGCTTTTGGTGATGACCCACCTTAACCATGGCCCTTTAGGGAGGACTATGAGAAGATGTGTTTTCTCACGGAGTGGATGAGCTCAGCTCACTGCTGCCATTCCTCCTGGGAATGCAGGGTGAGGGTTACTCACTGCTTTCCAAGAAATTCATTCAAACTTAGGAAAAATCTGTTGTTCAGAATTTTTCATCCTTACCTCTTTTAAATTTTGTAAAAATCAACTCTTTGCGGTTTCTATTTCTGGTGTATTTGTGCCGATATCAACAATGTAATTGTGCAGGTGTGTCAGAGCTGTATGTGTTTACAAACACACACATATTTTTACACATTTAAGCACACATACAAATATCTCTTGGGACACAAACCACCCTCCAGTTAGGCTGCTTTCCCCACGAAGCAGGTTATTATGTTCCCTTGTTGATTAAGTTTGATTTTCCCCCCTTCTGTTTTCCGAGCATCACGTTTCCCTTGCCAGATACAGGGAGAACAATGTGCTCTGCCAAGAGAGACAGCTTCTGCAGCAGCTGTTTCTTGATTTATTAATATTTATCACTAACCTTTCACACACCCCCTCTACATTTGTCGTGACTTTGCACAAGTGGGCAACTGGGGTTCCCCTTGCCTCCGTGTGTTGGAAGACACCCTTGTATGGGGTTTTCACTCACCGTGGATCCAGATGGGGATTTTCGAGCTCCCGGGGCACCAGGGGGATGAACCTGTGAGGGAGCCAAGAAGGAAGGGTCACTGCTTCCTCCTGGATCACACCGATGGCTCTGCTCTTGCACACAGGCCAGCCTGAAGCTGCTGTGGTGAAACGAGGTCTTTACCATGTGTGTCTCATGCTCAGCAGATCTCCTGGCTCTAACGTGCCTTGGGAGCGCAGAGCCATCGTCTAAACTCACATTTTCCTGGGGGAAGGGAAACAGCATCCTGCTGAGAACTTAATATTATATCTATTATAATAATAATAAATGTTATTTAACACTGTGCAGCTAATTTACTGCCATTACAAAGAAATAAAACCCACCTAAAATATTGCAACGTTGAACTTTAAATACCTCCCTGCACCAGCCATGCCCAAGCAACACACCTGCTATGCATTTAATGTATCTCATTGGAATAAGACAACTATTAATACCTATTAATGTCTACACATTAATCTGCCACTAGGTGATGTTTGCAGTGCTTGTGGTTTTGGCTGATGTATATTTAAGGCACACACAGTAGAGCGTTTACAAATAGTTACTGGTCTGGCTCATAAATTGTTTGTCCTTTTCCATATTAGCAACGGTAAATTATCTACTTGCTGTGGTAAAAATGATAATGTTCCTCACTGCTGGATATCTCAGTGTACAGCAATTATTCTTTGAACCACACAGTGGAAGCACCGCAGTGTAGCTTTGGGGAATATTTTGGTACGAAAGTAAAAAATAAGTGAATTTATTTATAACAAAGGAAAGTTGGGCACCTCCTTGTACCCAAACCCCAACCCTGAGTCCTGCCAGGAGCACATGAAGGAGAGGGAGAAATCAGGATGGGGTGCAGTTATGTAGCACTATTCCCACATTTTTTGTTGCAGAAACAGAGACTTGGATTCATCTCAATTAATTTCACCTAGAAGAATGTGTCGAGACATTCAGATGGTTAAAGTTAAGGGAAAATAAATCCTAACTGAAGGACTTCCAAGAAATGCTGGTTAGTCCAGCCCTGGACATTATGCTGTCAGGTTTTCAGGGATGACAGTCCTGTTTTGCTGGATGAGAATTTCACCTAATGGCTAATGAACCCAAGAAGTTTCTGACTCACCAAAATGCGTAAAGAAAAAAAAAATTATTGTGGTCCAATTAAAATTGTGATTCTTTACTGAAAGATGGTGAGGATGACAGAAGGAGGAATAAAAGACAGGTCAGTGATGTGCTGGCTCATATTGTTCAGGGGAGTGCTCATCTAGGGTGGTTTTTATGGGACTAGCTAGAGAAACATCTCCCCGAGAGATGCAGAGGTGATTAGGGTGGGTCAGATGGCATCATCAGATGAAACCGAGTGAACATTCCTGTCCATCCTGTACCAGGTCACAGCTCATTGCTGTCCTGACTGGCTGTAAAATGCCTGCTGCTCTTCAGCGTGAGCCTATGTTCAACTTACAGACGTGCCAATCGCGTCACAAGGCAGCGGCGAGGCAAGCCCATGGGTTGCCAAGACCTCGCTGAGGTTTTGAAGGTGACCCGTATGCATGCGATCTCATAAAGCTGCCATTTACTGGGGCGGTGGGAAATTGCAGGGGATAATAACTCTCCTTCATTCTGCAATTCCTCTGCAATTTTAGCAGTTTCCGGCTCTGAGGTGCCAGCAATAAGGCACCTCAAAGAAAAGCAGAGAGGCTGCTGCTGCTTTCTAAAGGAATGATTTATTGGTGGCGGGTGACAGTGTAAAAAAGAAAGGAAAAGAGAGGAGGGAGGAAAGGAACAGAAAGAATTAGGGCAAGAAAGCAGAAATAAAAGGGGGAGTAAAAAAAAAAACCAACCAAACAAGAACCACCTTCCTGCAAAGAGGTACAGGAAAGAGAGAAATAGCCAAGGCCAAGAAGATAGCAGGTAGGAAAATTAAGCGACTATGGGTTTATCCACATGGAGACAACCAGGGGTGTTTATCTGAATTAACTCTGAAAATGAGTAAACTTAACTACAGGGGAGCTGGGAGATGGAGGAGGCAGGAATTGGCTGGTACGGTCCCATAACACTCAAGAAGTGGCTTGTCCATGGAAAGAGTAACCAGCTACTTCTTCTCACACGGGCACGTGTACCTGGGCTCATCCTGCCTCCTTATCTCAGTTAATTTGCTTTGGCCATTAACTCCTGCCAGCCAGAAATTGCACCTCCGAGATGAAGCTCTTGGGCTATTACAGGCTGCTTCTCTCTAGAGCCCCATGAACCTTTTAACAGGTAAAATTCGTGATTACAGCTGCTGCCGATGGGAAAACAACTGGCTCCATTTCACTCCCTTTGCTGAGGTCAGTTCGGCTGTGGGAGGCACCAGGAATGAGACGATGCAGGAGCTGCAGGGAGAGAGTGGCTGCTGCCGTTTCCCTGCCTTTGGGCCACACTTATCCTGAGGATAAAGGGGATTTTACATCCAATACAACAGAGGAAAATGCCCTGGGGTGTAGATCCTATTGTGCTAGGGGGTTTGAAGCGCCCTAAAAAACTTTTGGCAGCTGTTCTGTTTTTACAAATGCCCCTGCCAAAATGGAGATGGTTGGACACAAGAGCAAGAAGGGTGGTTCTATGGGCCCATCTTTTCAAACAACCCTTCCTTTGACAGGGAATCCCCCGGGCTGGGATTCAGAGAAAGGTGTCTGGCAATACTGGGCTGCAGGATTGCACCAATAATTATTGCCAAACACGTAGGTGCAGCGTCGCTGTCGGATGACACCGATATTGCACACGCTAATCTATAGGGGCCTTGAACACCAGCCCCAGTGGGATCAGGAGATCATCTCTACGAACCCAAAATGCAAACTTTTCCCCTCCAGCCCCCTGTGCTCTGCTCCTGATAACTCAGGCAGCGACAGACAAGGAATTGCTGCCTCGTCCCATCTCCCTCCAGCCTGCTCCCGGGGTTAATCAGCTTGAGCTCTAATTTCCCATTTGAATTATAAGTCTTTGGTTTCCTCCCTCCAGCTCTCCTGCCTTTTGCTGCAAGATTAAAGAGCCCTTTACCATTTGGTATCTCCTCCCTGCAAAAAAAAAAAATAATCTTGGATGCTGAAATCAAATTATCTTAGCCACCCCGAGTTTGGCTAAAAAATATCTGGTCTTAGGTTTCTTGTGATAAACGAGCCTGTACGCACCTACAAATCACTTTTGTGGTTCTACTCTGCACTTTCCATGGGGCTTTAAAATAAAAAGTGACGTTCCAAACAGGATACAGAGATTGCTTTTGGTCCTTGGGATGCAGCTATGGGGCTTTAAAATAAAAAGTGACATCTCAAAGAGGACACAGAGCTTGCTTTTCGTGCTTGGGATGTAGGGATTAAATTCTGTGATTCTGTAATTAATTGCTTACACCCCTGATGAGTGAGGACAGTTCTTCCTGTCCAAATGTCACATTTGACATGGCCACAGGATCCCTTTTCCTTCCCGATGCCATGGCACCTGGATGTACTTGGCTTCCAGACACCCATAAACAGGGCTCACTCCTGTTTCACGGAGGAGGAAGATGCCGTGGCTGTGGCAGGTTTGATTCATTACATGACACCAGGCAGGGGCACATATTAAGACATGAGGGCTCTGCTCACAAAAAGCATCCAGCATGGGTGAAATCCACGGTTTCAAATGAAGCCAGAGATTCGGTACCTCCCCAGTTTCATGGTCTCCAGGTGCAGGTCCATAGGGACTGGGCTCTACTTGCTTCTGAGAGCAGGACACCAAAAATCTCCCACCTCAGCCAGGGGCTTGCAGCCCAATCCCCAAGAAATGTGGGGGTTTGGGCTCCATCCTCTGGGCTTCCAGATCTCTCTTCCCTTGCCCAGCCAAGGGAAACGGTGCATCCAGGAGGAGAAACAAAGCTGGTGGCAGCTCGGGGCACAGGCCACCATCTCCAGAGCTGCAGTTTACACACACACACACACACGCGCGTGTCGGGGGCGGGGGGGGTG